ATACCCGCCAGGGTTTTGCGGAAAGGGGCCATCCGCTGGCGGGTATCCGCCAGCGGATAGCGGATATCCGCAACAGATATCCAGAGACCAGCTCTAGGAGCGATCCAATACCAATACCCGGTATCGGGTCCATTTTCGATCCGATCCCCAATAAATACCGATCTGGGGATCGGATCTGTTACATCCTTGAAACGATCGATCTGAGATTTCTGGGCAAACTCATCCAGACCATTGAGCCGAGCTCGACCCTTCCGGCAACAGTGACGGTCATCAGCATCAACAACCTGCAAATATCCTTGCAAGCGCCAACTCTGAGTCTCTGTCACTGATCATCAACATGAACAATCTGACAATGCCCTTCCAAGCGCCAACTCGGTCGTCAATCATCGGCCTGCACAATCATTATCTACAAATGTCCTTCTAGATGGAGCACCGCAAGAAGAAATCTGTATCAAGCCATATGTTGTCAAGCTTGCCCAATCTGTACTGCCGCTCGTCAAGCTAAGCAAACTGCTCTTGAATAAACTCTGCCTTGCTCCATTGTACAGAGCACCATTCACAATCGAAGGTCAAATGAGCTTGACTCAATTTAACTCGTTGCGCAATCACACCACCGATTTCTTCAGCAACCTACATGAGATGCTCGAAATCTTGGTCGAGGTGTGTCGGGATTTCCGGGCTAGTAGGGCCAGCATTGTGGATGTTGAGCACCAACTGCAGAGGTGTCTTCTTAGTTTTGATTGCTGTATGGAAACACTACGGCTTCGTCTTGTACCCTGCTCGCCTTCCAATCACTTCCAACCCGCCACGACTCCTCAGCCTGAAGCCGAAAAAACTTTTAACGATTGGTTCTCCTTATTGATCGATCAAGTCCGTTTGGCTGCTCAAAACTTCAGAGTCGAGATGGGAATATTTGAAAGAAAGATCCTGAATGCATCTAGCGAATACTAATCTCTTATATCCACATAACACTCGTATCTTTTTCCTTTTTCTTTTTTTTATACACATCATCATCATCAGGTAATATACCAAACAAATGATTATTCAAACTAGTTATGTTCAGCTTTGATGTAGATCTCCATTGCTTTACAAAAAAACAAACAAACCAAAATACCCTCCAAGCTACTAAAGAGTGATCAGACACAGCCTCCATGAAGAATTAGGAAGAGCTGGGTCCAAGTGACACTTCTTTCCTACCCCCAATCACAACCTTCCCCATGATTGCTATTCCACGTCTATGTTTTTTTTTTTATCAATCTGTTTCTTGTGTTCGTAAACTGCCAATCCCAGATATTTTGTTGTGTTCCAGACGGGATCTTGCATCTCAATTGTTATGTACTGCTGAACTTGGTGCTAAGCTGTAATTCATTGCTAATCATCACTGTCTTTCAGTGGAGAGAGAGAGTTGAACAATCAGTGGGAGATAATTTATGAGATAATCAAAACCAAAAAAAAGACATATCTTTGGGATGATAACTCGACGGCTTGCCTTATGTGTCTGTAAGGCCAAGGGAGTCAGGAGAGTGGTTGGCATCCGCTTCCATGTATCAACCATCAGAATGGTCAGACATGATTGATGTAGAGCTGGCCCCGGCGCATCCGGATATCCGTTTGGATTCAGATATCCGCTCACGTTTTCAGCAAAATCAGACATCCGCATCCGCATCCGCTGGCGGGTATCCGCTGGTGCTGGCGGGTATCCGCGCGGATATCCGCGGATATCCGCCCCTTAAATGACCCCTAGGGTGCAAAATGAATGCTCCTTGGGAAAATTTCAGATTTTGGGAGCTGCATAAACAGCAATTTTGAAGTCCTTGCAGCCTGCAAGCCTTCATTTTTTTTTCTTTTTTCTTTTTTTAATTAATTTTTTACCACTTTTTTTCATGTTTTTTTGAAATTTTAAATTTATTTCCTAGGTTTTAACATGCTTAGGATTTTGTGGTAATATTAAATTGCTTTAGAAATCAAAGGATCACTTTGAAAATTCCAATCAAGCACATTTTTTCAATTAATTTCTTACAGCTTATTTGTCAATATTTTCTGACATTTTGATTTTTTTTTTTCCTACAATTTAAGACATGTAAAAAATTATTTTACATCAAAATTAAAATTGATTCTTGAATATTATATTTGGGCATGTATTTTTAACTAATTCTTACAGGGCCTGATTCTCATTATTTGTTGGAATTTTAAATTTATTTCCTGAATTTTGAAAGGTTTGAAAATTGATGGTTATGTCAGTTTTGCATACAAATAGAATTGGTATACAGCACAAATTATGCAAGAAACGGGGTAAACTCATATATTAAGGTTGGAGCTTTGATTTTTGGGTAAAATGAATAATACCATAAGACTTGAAACCTCTCAAAATGTAGGAAATGAATTTAAAATTCCAAAAAATAATGTAAATTAGGCCTATAAGAATTAATTAAAAAGACATGCCAAATACAATATTCAAGAATTAATTTTCATTTTGATGCAAAATGATTATTACCATAATTTTTTGCATGTCTTAAAGTGTAGTAACAAAAATTATTGAGAAACAAGCTGTAAGAAATTAATTGAAAAAATATGTTTGATTGGAATTTTCAAAGTGATCCTTTGATTTTTAAAGAAATGGAATATTACCACAAAGTTCTATGCATTTTAAAAACTAGGAAATAAATTCAAAATTTCAAAAAAACATGACAAAGAAGTGGTAAAAAATTGATTAAAAAAACACACCCAAACGCGGAATCGGCGTGTGCTGCGCACAGGAAAAACTGGGTTTTTATTAAGGCCCTTATTTTATTTTATTTTAGGGGATTAATAAACGTACCCCCCTTTTCTGCTAACCACACCTGGTTTTCTGCTTCTACACCCGGTTTTTCCCAGCCTTTGTAATTCATTTTTTGGAAATTCTGATTATTCTAAAAATCTTCTAAAATTGATCATTCTTTTTGGGTATATAACACTACAAGCAATACCCATTTTGCCCCCAAAATAAATGTTAATTTGGGTGGGGGAAAATGGATCAATTTTCTGGAAATTTTTTCCAAAATGCCTCAGGAGTAGAAATTAGGCTAAACTGTGGTATTTTAGCCCAGAGATAGAAATTCATCAAACATTCCAAAATGAATTTTTAGCTCATTTGAGACATTTTTATTTTTTGGCTAAAATAGCTCATTTTAGCCTAACTTTTTACTCCTGAGGCATCTTGTAAAAAAAGTGCGGGAAAATTCATCTATTTTCCACCATCCAAGTTGCCATTTTTCCTTGGGGCAAAATCAGTATTGTTTGTAGTGTAAAAAATCCTGAAGAGAACTTCAATTTTTTTATTTTTCTCACCCATTTTTTCCCAATTTTTTTTGACCCTATGAACTCTTGAAAACTTGAATTAAAGCCAAAAATTATTATTAATTTTCAAGTTTTTAATCTTTCTTCTCCATACAGATGGTCCCATTCAAGATATTCCTTATTTTGTCCATTTGGTTATAGCTCAAAACCAACAACATTGGGGTTTCCAAAATGAAATCAAATTTGTTCCTTTATAGATTTCCCAAATATTGGGCAATATCAATGATAAATTTAAATGTACTTTGAATTCTCAAAAACTCATAGGCAGAAAAAAAAACTTGATGAATCAGATAAATTAAAATTTCTCTTTTGAGGATTTTTTATATACCCAAAAAGAATGATCAATTTTAGAAGATTTTTAGCATATTCAGAATTGCCAAAAAATGAATTAAAAAGGCTGGGGAAAACCGGGTGTAGAAGCAGAAAACCAGGTGTGAAAAACCGGGTGTGGATAGCAGAAAAGGGGGGTACGTTTATTAATCCCCTTATTTTATTTTTTATTTTATTTTTTCTTTTGTTTTTTCTTTGCTTTTTCTTTTTTTCCCTCCTATATGGGCGGATATCCGCTGGGATACCCGGATATCCGCCAGGATTTCAGGGGAAAGAGGACATCCGCATCCGCATCCGCATCCGCTGGCGGGTATCCGTTGGCACTGGCGGATATCCGCCAGCCGATAGCGGATATCCGCAACGGATATCCAGAGACCAGCTCTAGATTGATGGAAGCCCGACCGTCACTACCAGTACCTGGTGCAGGATCCCGATAGCAAGGCTTGTGTGGGCCGTGTTCTCCAGTGCTTCAGCTACCAATCAATCATCAATCTTCATTCGACCATCTTGGATTCAGAAAACCCAGCCAGATTCGAATCGATCGGTCAAGTGCATCTGCTCCAGTTCTTAAATTAGGATGAAGAGATATATAAGTACTAATAAAACAAACTGGTTCAATGCTAATCCTACACAGTTTTCCATCCAATTCTTGCTGTCGCAGGTAGAAGACCCCAGAATATGTATGATCGGTCGAGCTACCTAACTATCTCGACCGATCATACATATGGTGTTGCAAGCGGGTCTGGGCACAGGCCCAAGTTGGGCAAAAAAGGGGCCAAGCGGGCTTGGCCAATCCCCAAGCGCGCGTGGCGCCCTCTAAACCCAACTTGGCTCAGCTTCAACCCCCGCTTGGCACCTCCCCAATTTGGAGGGGGTTGGACCCAAGCCAAGCTTGGCCGGGCCCAAGCGAGGGTGCCACCCGCGCCAAACCTGACCTCATGGATCACCACCATCTCATCAAGCCTCACATGACCGCTTCTGTAGGTATTTCAAGTCGAACAAACGGACGACTTGCTCGTTTTAAGGAGTTGTGCTTTTTGGGTAATCAACTCATGTAGTGTATGTTTTCATTTTGGATCTTACAATTATGAAATTCATTCGATTTGTGTGGGTAGAAAAGAGAGAGAAGGAAAATCTTAAGGATCCAGCGGACCGATGTCCCATCACTTCATATGATCCTAAGCACAACAGATACAATATGATGAAGATCGATGATTTCTTGGGTACTTTTTGTAATTACATCTTGTTGAGTTACATGGTTTTTTTTGTAAATAAAATGAAAAAGAAAATTAAAAAAAAAGTCTATGCCAAAGGAGAGGATAAAACCGGCCCAGTAATTTGTTGAAAGTCAGCGCAGGGGCGGTAGAGTCGCTGACAATGGGCAAAAAAATGTTGAGATTTCTCCAGGGTGATTGATTCTTGAATACCTTTTTTAATTTCGTCGACTAACGCCATTCGGTTGGGTGGCTCCTTTGATCAAACATATGATTTGATCGAATGGAAGCTGTATTCGATCCGATTGAGAAACGGAGAGTAGGGTGGTAAAAATTCCACCTTGATCAATTTGGAGGCGTCGAGTGATGTGATGACCTCCTATGATGATGATCGCTTCCTTTGGGAGTCGTGCACCAAGGCTGCCAAGGAAGAGGCAGAATTCATCTGCCCCTACCCCTTTAGCCTTGGTGTTATCGGCGTTGAGGAGCTCATAGTAGTCGAAGCCCTCCACCAAGAGTGCCCCAATCAACGTTATTTGCTTAGCCTTGGGAACAAGGCTAAGAACAGCAGGCTGACCTGCAGTGATCAAGATAAAATAAGTAAATAGAAATCAGAAAAGGAAAAAAAGTGAAAAAAAAACAAAAGAAAACGTACCGGAGGGAGCGTATCCAGATGCTCGACTGGAATGTAAATCAAAACCAGCCTCATCAACAAAGACCACCCGTTGTCCGAGGTCCAAGCCACGACGATTGACGAAGTTTGCTCGCTGCTCGATAAGATTGGGCTTATTCCACGCAGCATGTATATTAGTAACCTGCTTCCATGATATGTCCATATCATGGATGAGGTTACTAATCGCCTGAGTCGAGACCTTCACATCGAATCGGTCCTTGATGAAGGCCACCATCTTCACAAGGGTCGTCGTCGATTTCTGGTCGAGTTGCATGAGCAGCTTGGTCTTCATGTCATCGGTGAATTTTCCCGGCCTTTTTTTATGAGTTCTGATCAAGTTGGGGTCCTCACCCTTGATGCGTTGGATTTGGCGCCGGGAGACGTTGAACTTCTTGATGGCGTCGCCAATCTTCATACCCTTTCCATTGACATTCTTGCGGATGAGATCTCGAACCTCGGGCTTGATGATCGCATTCGGCTTACGCTCCTTGTGAGTGAGTCGGTCGTTCTTGTAGGTCCTAGTTTCATCGACATTTGCTTTTGCTTTCTTAATCGCTTCCTGTTGGGCGGTTTTTTTGTTCAGGTCTCAGAGCTCCTCAACAAGCACCCGTGATCGCTCCTTATTGGCTTGGATTTCCAAGTCGGTCGGGTCCATCACCGCAGATTTGGACATCTGTGAGGGAAAGATAAAAAAAATTAGTGAAAGAAAAATGATGAAAAATGAGCATGAGAACTTACTGAGGGTGGTGGTGGTAGTCGATGTTGGACCTTGGTGATCTGGTGAGCCCAGAGCTTGGGTGCAGCCAAGCCAGACTTGGGCCAGTGCCAAGGTCCGACCCCCGCGCGACCTGCCAAATCAGGCCCCCTGGGCGCTGGCCCAGGCCCCCGTGGCGCGAGGACACGCGGGACTGGGGCCTGTGCCCAGACCCGCTTGCAACACCATATTTATCAATGTCCTGAGCTCTCTCCTGATCAAAATAAAGTGTGCAAAGCATGTTTTTTTTCTTCTTTTCTTTTTTTGAACTGCGCACTGCAGGAGGTTGCAACATCAAGGAAATCGGTCTCACAGTGCACACACATTTTTTTTTTCAGTGGATAAGGTATGACCATATTATGATAATGATATTGAAATGTTAGTAAAAACACCTCCCAAACAATGCAGAAAGAATTAGAAGCACATAAGTAAGTCAAAAAAAAAGTCACCATCAAGGAACTTGTCTAGGGTCACCTCAATTTTTACTGGTCTACAAACATACAGCTATTTTGGAAAGGGTTGTCCAGTTGTCTCTCGCAATTTTTCTTTTTTTTTTTTGAAAATTTTTAAATTTTTCTTTGTACTGAACTACAGCCAAGGAGGTACAGCTGTCATCACTAGTTCAGTTCTGACAGGTCCAGTTCATTAAAAAAATAAAAAAGATTTTTTGCGAGTCCAAGTGGACAACCCTTTCCGAAATAGCTGTACATACCATCCAATGAGCACTAGATTCACCATCTTCAAGAAAGAGAAAAGAAAAAAGCTGGACAGCAGGAATACCAAAAGGTCAATTCCGAGTACGGGAATCGAACCCGTCTCCTCCGCGCCCTTCCAGATGAAAGGCGGATATACTAGCCGATATACTAACTCGGATATGTTCTGGATGCCGGAACGAAGAAACTGGCGTATATATTCGCTTCTGGCGTAAGGCTGAGGCAGGATATCCGTCGATTATCCGGTGATGTTTGCGATTATGTCATGGGTGTTGATGATTACGTAATCCCCTACCCCACCCTCTTTCACCCGTCCCTCCCGCCCTATCCCTCCCTATATCTCTCAAGGCTCCGTTCCGCCTCGGCTACGTATTTTCCACCCATCTCCATCTAGCAGCAACCAGACAACCAACCACATCCACAAATCAAGCCAGTCCGCCCTATACCACTAAAAATAGAGATATCTCCTACAATGGCTATCAAGTCAATCTTTGCCCGTCAGATCTTTGACTCCCGAGGAAATCCTACAGTTGGTTAGTCATTCAATAACTTTTCTTCCCAGAGAAAGAATGAAGTATTGACGGACATGGCTGATTGGCTCTTCCTAATCTTGGCAGAGGTCGATCTCACTACCGAGAAAGGTAAGGGTTGAAATTCTACGATTTCTCTGCTACAAGCATCAGCACAGTGGACTTATTCGTCGTCTTTATTTCAGGTACCTTCCGTGCTGGCGTTCCCTCGGGGGCCTCAACCGGTGTTCATGAGGCCGTTGAGCTCAGAGACGGTGACAAGTCCCAATACCTCGGAAAAGGTTCGTCGTCCGTACTTCGTTCATGCGATCCCATTTGCTCTCAAATGCTAACCTTCCCATTCAATGCGGTTTTTCTCATCACAGGTGTCCTCAAGGCCGTCGATCATGTCAACAACATCATTGCCTCCCAGTTGATCAGCTCCGGTCTAGCTGTCACTGACCAGAAGGCCGTTGATGACTTCCTCATCAAGCTCGACGGGACCGCTAACAAGGGTAAACTCGGAGCCAACGCCATCCTTGGAGTCAGTATGGCTATTGCCAAGGCTGGTGCAGCCGAAAAGGTAAGCCCTCAAGTACCCCTTCAACCATCAGTATGGCCCCATATATCTGACCAGAAACTTTGATTTTGACAGGGAATTCCACTCTACGCTCACATCGCACAATTGGCTGGTACCAAGACCCCATATGTTCTCCCGCTCCCATGCATGAACGTCATCAACGGTGGATCCCATGCTGGGAACGCCTTGGCCTTCCAAGAGTTCATGATCCTCCCCACCGGTGCCACCTCCTTCCAACATGCCATGAAGATGGGCACAGAGACTTACCATGCTCTCAAGAGCGTCATCAAGACCAAGTACGGGATTGATGCAACCAACGTTGGTGACGAAGGTGGCTTTGCCCCTAACGTCCAAGGCGCTGAAGAATCTCTGGAAATCTTGACCGAAGCGATCAAGAAAGCTGGTTATGAAGGCCAGGTCAAGATTGCTCTTGATGTTGGTTAGTGCAATCGTACCAAGCTCCCTGTCTTTCCACACTTGTTAAACAGCTGTTGTCCAGAACTCGCTTACTGACTCTGTTTCCATCCAAATATCTGCTCAGCTTCATCGGAATTTTACAAGGATGGTAAATATGATCTCGACTTCAAGAACCCCAAATCTGACCCATCCAAATGGTTGACGGGAGTTGAACTCTCTGAAACTTACATCAAGATGTAAGACCACATAGGAAGGTTTTTATCTGTTTATTTTCGATCACTCAAGTTCTTTGCTTTTCCGATCAGGATCAAGAAGTACGGAATCGTGTCGATTGAAGATCCATTTGACCAAGATGATTGGGAGGCTTGGCAACACTTCACCAAGAATGCTGGCATTCAGATCGTTGGTGATGACTTGACTGTCACCAACCCTCTTCGTATCAAGACGTAAGCCCGTAATTGTGAATGCTAACATTGCAACTCTGAGCTCAAGTACGATTATTTCTTTCCTTTCTTTCTAGCGCTATCGAGAAGAAGGCCTGCAACGGTCTTTTACTGAAAGTCAACCAAATCGGTACGATCACCGAGTCGATCGAAGCCGCACGACTTGCTCAGTCCGATGGATGGGGTGTTATGGTCTCTCACAGGTCAGTAATTCAATTGCTAATTTTCTATTTAAACTATCCGCAGTCCGCTCCTGCGGTCAAAGAGGGCCTCTTGCCACTTTGAATTTCGAGTCTGCGTTGGGCTGTGTTCCCGTCCCGTCTCTGTCCAATGCGCTTCCTATTGCACTTCACTATTAGTACATAGGTTTGCTGGGCCCAGAGAAGAGAAGGAAAACAATACAGACCTGGGAGCTCAAAGTGGGAGAGGCCTTAGATCTCCAGAATAATTAGCAATATTGAAGCAACTGTCTTGGTTTTGTAAGATCCGGGGAGACTGAAGATACCACCATCGCCGACATCACCGTTGGTCTCGGTGTTGGTCAGATCAAGACTGGTGCACGTAAGTGAAATCAAATTAAGCCTTCTAGGTTTCCAAGCTGAATGGAACCTGATATTTGCTTGCACCGATGTCACTTTTCTCTAGCTGCCCGGTCGGAGCGAGTTGCCAAATACAACGCCTTGCTCCGTATCTCTGACGAGATCACACAATCAGGCCAATCGGTGGTCTACGCCAGTGACAAGGGTTTGAGCGTTGGAACGACTGCCCCAGCTCTTCTCAAGTAGACCCCGACTGATGATCCTGTCGTCCGGATGGAAACCATACGCACATGCTTCTCCACAAATGTCGCCTCTCGTGTTCCTTCATGGGATGTTTCCAAACAAAAACAAAAACTTGTTTTAAATTGTAAAACTCTCCAAAAAAAAAAACATATATCAAACCCTAGATATCTACTTTTGCCGTGCCGAATGAATCCGCAACTGCTCGATCTTGTTCAGTCTTGAATATTCTTCCTCGTCAACTCGAAAATCTGCCGAGTAACATGAGCAAGGAGATGATGCACTCCGGAGAGTCGGGACTGTGCAAGGATCTGAAAGCTCACGGGTCTAAAAGCAGCATGCTGGAAGGAAGATCCCTCAGCTAAGATTATTTGAGGGGAGCATATTATGATGATTATAATACATGTATTTTGCACTTCAGACTACGGGGCAGTGATCAAATGGGGAATGCTGGTTGGAATAGAACATCTGTTTGTCCAGGGTCTATACATATGGGTGTCTGTGGATATACCAGTTCAAAGTCCGGTGCTCATGTTCATGCTCAATGTATGTAGAATCAAAAGTTACTAATCATCAGGTGCAGGCAGACAACAAGCGCAAAACTTCAAGAACTACTACCAAAAAGGACATTCATTCATCAAGAACAACCAAGGAATTGAGGAGTCTCTTCAGTAGATGGAAGAACTATGAGCGGACTGGACCGGTCCCTTTGATTCCTAAACTAAGAATCCGGATGGGTTACATTCATCTTCACTTGCTTTTCTTCTTCTCACATCTTTCATCCGCACACTTGCGCTCATACTTCGGAGTTCTTTCGAACCAACAAGTGGCAAATAACAGTTCACATCAATATGCATCCGGAATCCTTGGTCAGAAAAAGATCCGCCCTCTCGGGCTCAGCTGGCAAGGTGGATTCTCTCCGCCTCCAGAGCGGGAAAAAAAGTCTCCTTCCTCTGGGCGTTTATCCGCTTCCAGGAGAATTGAAATGTGGCCATTGCTGGGCATATCAAGCAATTCATTGATCAGAAGGCTCGGTTGAGCAGTTTTTTTTTCTTCTTTCTTTTGATTGGTATGTATTTTTAGGGCAAGAGTCGTTGACCATGTGAGTGGATATCGGTGTAGCCGTCATAAAGAAATATTGGTAATTTGCTTTGGTTACAGTGAATCAACTGTGAATCCAACGCAATGGAAAAAGCATCAAGATCGAAGTTCAAGGGAAATCAATTACATACAATAAGGGTCGGTTGGGATTGCTATAACTACTGCAAATGGCTTGCTGATTCGTTAAAATACATATGTTGGCGAAGTGGACTTGTAAGCTTAAGTCTGAAAAGCAAGTCATTACCAAATCAGTCGACCGCTTCCAATTAGCGGATGCTGTTATGGATTGACGAAAAAAAAAAAAAAAAAGACATACCGATGTGCTGGGTGTTTTAGCAGCATCTGCGACATCCTTCTTCCAACGCCCCATATAATAACCGCCATAGCCGGGGTAGTTATTATTAAGAAGAGAATAGTAGGGGAGAGAGGCGGAGGAGCCGAAGGTGAGAGTCCAAGGGGAGCCGAGCAAGTCTGAGGAATACGTCCCGCCGCCCAAGCACGACGACGAGGAGGAGGAGTAGTAACTTAAGCCGCCCCAGCACTTCTGATCGGATTGGCCTTTGGAAGCCGTCGTGTCTGCTCGCGGTGCAAGAGTCGGCACAGCCAACGTCGACTGAAGAACGGCGATGAAACAAGCGAGGAAAAAGAGGCAGTCCATGGTGGGGGTTTTTTTTTTGGGAGGTTATGGGTGTTGGGCGTAGGGTTTGCGGTTGTATTGGGTGAGATTGGGTGACGGATGATCAGTGAGGATGGAATGGACGCTGGTCCCCAAGCAGGCCTTTAGAAAGCTATTTCGAGGTCTCTGGACTTGCTCCTGAACCTGTTGCATCATGATCTGGCTCTATCACTTCTTCGCTACATAGTTGCACCATGACCTCGCGCTCTGTTGAGGATTGGCGTAGATACTCCTGCACTAAGCTCTGGGAGAGGTGGCTGGCTTGCTCCACAACTTCCATGGTTGATTTCGTGTGAGGCCGGTGGACTTGGGCATATAATATTGTAGATGCTCCAATATCCGAATTTCTCTTGGAACCGTTGTCAGTCGCCCACTTAACGGCAAACCAGAGCCCCATTGATCTCATGGCAGGGTCGGCTATAATAAGCGACACTGCGGAACTGTCAAGGATCAAAGAAAGGCCAACGATTGGAGTAGAAATCTTCTGACTTGTACATACGCACACCATCGCCCATCATGATCATCCCAGTAGTACAAGCGGTAGAAGAGTACGTCGGCTTGGTTGTCCTTGTCCAGTTAGCTAAACCGGGGAGAGGGAGTATTTGCTTCACCCAATATTGGTAGAGCAGGGGTTGACATTGTGCACGTCCACCGAGAGAACTTGCAAGGCGCTCTTGAAGGCTAGGATATCTCTCAAGAACACGCCAGAAACCGGCACGACGAACTCAACTCGATCCGGGTCCCACTTGAGGAAGTCGCGCATCCGAGGGACCTGCGCGATGGAGAGAGACTTGAGTTAAGTTCGCCGGCACGCACGGCCGGGGCATCCACAGTTTTGACCGACCGGTGATGGCCACTGTCGCCCCGGCCGCAAGGTGACGACCCCAGTCGCCTGAACAGCAACCAAAAAGTGAGAAACACTGGCGTATGACCGCCAGGACATCCTACAATCAGTGCAACAACCCCGCTGGATGGCTAGTCTACCGTCTTCCTCATCCAACAGGATAGACTCTCATTCCAGGCCGATCCTGACCCATTCCGATTGGTCATCTGGGCAGAAATACGCCAGTCAAAGAGCTTTTAATCCAATTCCACAATTCTAACAAGATGGCTCCCAAGCTGAAACTGAATGGATCAAGAACTACAATGGAACAAATCAGATGTCTCTATGTTTACTTCTGCATATATACCATTAATACTCTTTTTTTGATCGACCAAGACACGCATACATACTATATAGGATCACAATAAGAAAAAAAAGGCAGATGAAAAATGTGCTATTGGAATTGATAGAAGTGTTCGCCGCTCTGTCCATGATGATTGATTTGATTGATCAAAGTTTCTCCAACTGATCCTTAGATTTGATGTAGACCGATTGACTGATTGTTTTCCCCTTCACGCATTCGAGTCCCTCGCCAGCATAAGTCACGAGAGCACTGAGTTCGACCTCGAGGTCTGGCTTGGAGAATTGGCAGCCAGCAGCTTCGAGCCAGCGTTTCTGTTGGGCAAGCAAGTCTCGCCTGCTCGTTTGAGGATCATCGGTACCCGTGTTGGGAGCATTCTTCAATGGAGAGAATTCTTCGATCCGGTCGACTTCCAATAGTGATAAGGAATCAACAAATGGGAAGACATCAAAGATGAAGAGTTCTAGTTTAATCCCGTTGGGTTGGCTGGGCTTGATTAACTCTTTGGATTTCAAATCGATGTGTGGGATCTTCTTGTGCGCGACGTGGTATGCCAATTTGGATTCAAAGGACTCGATCGATTCCAAGAACTTTAAGGAATAGAAGTGGTTTGCGATGTTGGCCGATTTGAATTTTAACTCTCCATTCTCGGCCCGGCTCGAAGCGACCGATTCCGGCATCTCTGAATATTCCACGACCGACCACTGCTTATTCTTGAGTGCTAGGACACCCACGCTTTCGTTCGGTTGGGACTTGAGGACGACCTTGACGCCGCATGGGGTCTTTTTACCGATACAGTATCCTAAGAAGATCGGATCGGCTACTTTGACCAGACAGTTATCTACGCAATAGGCATGGATGTATTCCGCTCCGCGGTGCTTGAGATCTTCTAATACAGATCGACCTGCCGAACAGCTTGTCGATGATCTTAATGCGGCATACAACCCTCCGTTCCCATCCGGCGCGACGCACACCTTTGAAGGCGTTTCTAAAAACATCTTGCCGTCTGGAGTGAGAGCCGGTAAAACACCTACGCCATTTCATAATAGAATCAGTACCAAATCAATCTAGTTCCTTGTTTGAACGCGAAACATACCTTGTTCAAAAAAGATCACATTCTCTTTCTTTAGTCCGAAATAATTCATCTTGATAAAGTATTCCTCGGTTGGTTTGCGAGTGGGTCCACTTGTCATGATGTACCTACGAAATGTTTTTTGGTCCGAGTTTTCATAATCAATAAAGATCAACTCGGAAAGTGAGAAAGGGAAGTCTGTACGTACCATGGAATGATGGATGAGCCGCCGACCAACTCTTGTAATTTGATGATTTTTTCGGCTTGGATTTGAAACAAAGATTTCTGACTAGGTAATCCGATATTATAACATCCCTTGGGATCATTGCTACCCAGTCTGGTACCTTGACCGCCTGCCAATAGCAGGATTGCGACCTTCTGTTCCTTGATCGACTTGAATCCGAGTGATTCCCATTGGGAGACGTTCTGTTTGATCTCTGGTTTACTGAGGTCGATGATGGATTCGAGACTATCCTTTGGGGGCGGCTCGAGATCGATCTTCTCGGCACTGGGCTCGTCAGCTCCTGAGCCGGTTTTGGAGGTCGATTGTTTGAAGATTTGGTTGACCCTCTGAGGATCTATGGATTCCAATTGGGCGAGCAGTTCTTGCTTCTCTTCGTCCTTCAGTTCCTCGTAGAATTTGAACACATGTGCCTGTCCAGCATCCTCGTACGCCTGTCGAATCTTGGCTGAGTTGTCCATCACTTGACTGTCTTGGAAGTTGTGGTTGGTTGCAGTTGGGGTTTTTCTGGAAATGACGTCAGCTCCAAACTCTAATGTATGTATGTATGTTTGTGCTGCTGCGGCTGTCCATCTGGGTCGAGACGACCGACATCCCCCGGTCTCGGCCCCAGGGAGGCTCCCGATGGAGTCAGCCGAATGCCCCACGGCCCCACCCACGGCTGACATGTGGCCCGCTGGATGGTGCCGAGTTGACAGTCGACTCAGAAGAACACCGAAGGATCTCAACAGCGTATCGTTCGACTAGGATGAGGGGATAGCTCGAAGAGACTGCATCGATTGAACTACATAGCTAGTCGTAGCACTAGGACGACAGCTCGGGATGACTGCTCAGCCGACTCCCCCCTCGGCCAAACCAGGCTCTGATCGGACACTCCAGCGCAAGATAAGTACGAGCAGACTGCCCATGGCCAGCTCGACCAGCTCCTCATCCAGGATACTACGCTCCAGCTCCAAGGAGCCTCGTGATACTCAAATGTCTAAAAACAACAATAACCAACCTCCCCACTCATTGAAACGCAGCTTGAATGAAAATGATTCCTCCCAATCTGGTCCGTCACTTCTTTTCAATCTCTGAAGGCCGGTCTTCAGCTGACATCTGCAATGATCTCCCCCCTTTGAAATCTAGCCGCCAGTGCTAAGAGGCCCTCTCTGTGGACGAGGGGCCAAAGGCTGGAGGATATGACCACGCCTGCTCCAGCACGACATACCGCCATACCGCCATCGACTTTGCAAAGCAGCAGAACCCGTCAATCTCAGCCTGAGCAGGTTCTTCTAGCACACGACAAGGCAAGAGAACTCAGTAAGAAGCTCGAGGTGGCCCATGAGGAAATCAGTCGACTCGAACACAAGGATTCTCAGACTAGCGATCGTGAGTTGGGCTTAGAACGCAAGGTACTGGATCTCCAGAGAGAGTTGCGTGAGACGAACCTCCGACTAGAGGATCGTGAGGCCCGGGTCAGCAAGCTCGAACAGGATCGGATCATCGTCAGTGGGCAGATCGATGCCCAGGAGGAAGAACGACAGAAAGCGATCCAGACAGCTGAGGAGAAAGTCAAAAAATACAAGGCAGCAGCGTCCGCTGCAAAGGATGAATTGGGCAAGCTCAAGGAGCGTAACACATCCTTGGAGCAACACGTCAGATTAGCCACCCATAACGAAGCACGTGCCAACCAACTCTCATCAGACTCTGCAATACGCATCCGATTCCTTGAAGAAGACAAGTCACGCTTACAGGCGGAGAACCATCAACTCAGCTCGAACATCGTCCAATACCAATCCGAGATCGAGAAACTTCATCAACAGAAGAATCAACAGGTCGGCTCTGGCTCGGGTGACTCCTCTTCCCATCGGGATGTCATCAGAAAGGAATTGATTCGTAAGTGTCCTGTTCCTGTTCCTCTACTCAACCAAACATCCTTCTTATACTGAGGTGATGCATCTGATCGGTACATAGGTCACGTTGACCGATACAAAGATATGGAACAAGCTAATGCACGCATGACACGCGAGCTTGCCACATTGAGATCTCGCCATTCTAACGTCGAACTGCTCAAGGAAGAGAACCACCAGCTCAAACAACGCCTCAGACACTTCGATCAAGCCCGGCAACAGTTGGCATCAACCGAAGTCAAGCTTGCCAAGCTGGTCCAAGAACGCGCCGAATGGGCGGTCTTCATCAAAGAAAACCAAAACGAGTTCAAGAGTCCTCGGGAGTTTTTCAAGTCTCTTGGCGGCAAGCGAATCGAAAATGCCAGCCTGAGAGCCAGATTGGGTTCGATGGTGTCTAAGATCAAGAGTCGTGATCGGATGATTGGCGAGTTGGAGACTCGATTAGAAGAGGCCGACCAAGAACGGAACATCGAGTTTGCAGAAAAGATCAAAGCTCAAGGCCAAGCCCAAATAGCCGAAAGAAACCGAGAGCTTGATCGACGACGGGTTCACATCTTGAATGAACAACTCAAGAGCTACACGAACGAAGAGAAATCGCTCTATGATGGGGTCAATTATGACCAACAGAAAGATCTCCGAATTACTCAGTTACAGGAACTCCTCGATAGTCATCAAGATGAACTGGCTCGTGTTCAACGTGAAGCGGCTGAGCTTCGACAACAACTTCACACTCAATCAACTCGCTCACCATCTGTTTCCGCGAATTCCGAATCACGCAGTACCGAGAAGGGGCAGGCTTTGACTACATCTCTATCTGAGCAGATCGATCGCAACGAAGAACTCGAGCAGGGTAAGTTCGGCTAGCATTTTGTTTCCTGTCTGAGGTCGTGGTGGAGCACCCGTTTTGATTGATTTTACTTTCATGTTTGAAAAACGCACGGATCAGAACTGGATGAACTGACGGACGCAAAAGAGATGTTGAAGATGGAGGTGGACTCATTGCAGCTTCAGGTTCATCGATTGGAGCGAGACCTGGGTCGGGGGGAATTCAATCCGTCGACGACCCAAGTTCTGTGTCCGGAAGGCTCGCCAGTGGAAGTCGAACAGGCCATCCGAAGCTCGATGTTAGAAGGCTTGAAGGCCGAGAATGCGGGGTTGTTGAAGCAGATCTCGAAGCTCGAGAAGGGGCTCAAGCCGAGTGAAGAGCAAGAATCAACCGGCAGTCTCGTCCCACGAGAATCGCTGGTCTCGAGCCAACAAGAGATCGAACGACTGCAAGCCGAGGTGGCCAGACAGATCAAGGCCCGGGAGAGATTGTGTGAGATGTACCGGGAAACAACGGCGACTTATAAGCGGGCGATCTGGGATATCTTGGGCTACAGTTTGGAGGCCGTGGCGAATGGCGAATTCCGGCTCCGCTCGGCGCTCAAGGACGAGGGCAGTTCAACCATGCTCTTTGTGCCGGGTAAAGCTGACGGCGCTCATTTCGAATTCAAACCTAACCCGAATAGCTCCTTCCATCAATCTTCCCTCGTCGTCAATCTCTATGATCATTGGGTCCATCATCATCATTCTATCCCTGCCTTTACTGCGGCTTTGACTCTCGATTTGTTCAACTCTAAATCCACGGCTTCTTCTTCTTCTTCTTAATAAGCTTCTGCTCTCTCTCCTTCTGAATCGTTCCCTTTCTTGTTTGTTTGAACATCTTATTTTTCTTCTCTTTTCATTCTTAGAATTAACCAAAATAATATATTGGCGGGCTTCACCATACAACTTGAAAAAAAAAAAAAAAAAAAAAAAAAAAAACAGAGTGAAATCAGCAGAAAAAAAAAAAAAAATCAAACATAAAATAAAAACATAAAAAAATTAGAAAATGAAAATGAAAATGAAAAAAAAAAAAAAAAAAAAAAAAAAAATGAAGAAAAAAAAATGAAATTATTGTGGACTTTGTTGTTTTGCAATTCTGAGTTGTAAGAGTTGTTGTAAGAGAGCATTTTGTCGGGGGCTTGTCAAAGACAGTAAAGCTTGTTATTAGTGTTGTGGTAAGGAACTATTGAAACTGTTCCTGGGTTTATGGACCAGAAGTGGCTGTTTTGATTTTTCTTTACTTGAACCTTCCCCCCTCCCCCCTCCTTTCAAATCAAGAGAGTTTTGTATCTCATGTTACCATGCGCTCCACATTCTCCCATTTTGGCTCTTGTAGCTTTGAAATCCTTGGGTTCTTCTGCAATCTTGATATTGTTCTGCATTGCTAAGTAAAGTTGACCCCCACCCGAGAGAATTTCAAGTTATTCTTGGTCAGTCTTCTGTTGGTTTGGTTTGGTACCCAGTGGACATCGTAGCTTTGTTTCGGTCCGCTTCCCGTTGCGCCAGATGAAAAGAGCTGCTCGGCGTCCCGAGTATATGTAGACGCCGACATGCTTCGGATAAGTTCCGCCGCTCATAGCTGCTAGAGAAAAACCCAACCAAGCCTCGGCCTGATCCGTTCGCGGCCCACCCAAAGCAAGTGCACGTTAAGGGATGATCCGGTGTACAATTATCTGTATGGGAATCTCAGCCGTCTGTGATCACAAAGAAACAACATCCCCTGTTTCTCCTGACTACATATATGTAGGCTCCAACATGTCTAGGCAGAAGGGATCCCCTGAAACCCCCCCACCAGAATGAGTTACAATTCCATGGGTTTGGTAGCTTGTAGGACGGTCCGCTTCCTGAAACCAGAACTCGCCAGAGCAGACTCGCCGGGCGGTCTCATTCTTTTTGAGCTAGAATACCGATGGTATGTATCCATGTCCCTTCCAGCTTATAGTCATCACCGCTGGTTCATGACGGAAGCTTGTTCGGTTTTACCCAATCCAATATACACCCAGAACAACTTCGATATTATTATTACAGACGCTCATTAACAAGGCCCCCAGGCGGACACATCACATTTGATTCGATCAAAAATGTTATTTCCACTGCTAGGGCCTCTGTCGGATGCCGCCGATGCCAAACGCGATGTGGTATTTACACTCTTTTTGACGTTTACCATAGCAATTGAACACCTAGCAATGTCGGCATTCACCCACCCCGCAAGCCTTTTCCGGTTCGACCAACTCACATCGCCTTCTACGCCAGCCTTGAGGGAAGGAGCAATAACTCACTCTGCTGAAGAGCTTGGAAGGAATGGGCAAGTCGGTCTTCTTGAGACGGATCAGGTAGAAAGCAAAGTCATCCCCAATAGCTTTCACAAGAAATTGTCCGACTTCAAAGAAGATGATCTCAGCTTAATCTTCTTCAGCGGTCCAGACGCAGAGCCACGAATGCAAAGATTGAAACTCACACGAGAAATCATAAACAGTATTGCCCGGACAAGGAGCAAGCAATTGAAGTCTGGATTGGCGTCTCCTGCTACAAATCAAGAGAAGATCTTGCACGATGAAGAAGAAACTGAGCATCTATTACATGCTCTGCGAGGTCGTCTATCAGTTATTTTCGACGAGCAAAAGTCAAAACTCGGGGAATTCCTATGGAGGCTCAATGCGAAGAAACATCTCCCCGCCAACGCAAGAGCAGTCTGGGAAGTCATCATGCAATCCGAACAGGATGCACACAGATTCCGGGGAAAGAGTCATGGTTTCTTCGGACGATTCTACTCGCTCTGGAAGTATCTGTTTGATAATCAGAACTGGCAAAACCAACGACTCGACCGAGCCCTGCGAAGGATCCGGATTGAACTTCGAAATAGGCCACCAACGAGTCAAGAACGGATCGTCTTACAGCTCGAGAAGATCCAGAAAGCTGGCTTTCTGATCACTCAGAAAGAACAACGATTGGCGCAAAAAATCTCGAAATTCTCTCAAGTCGCGACCAATAGAAAACGGATTTACATGTCATTGTCTAGCGCCGAAGAAAACTTGTTGAAAGAGATGGCTCGTCGAACGGTCCCAGTGAGGAGAACAGAGCAGATAGAGCACATTGTCAAACAACTGCCAAAAACACCGAATGGAGCCGAATTCTTTCGGAATCATCCCCAAGATCTGCAACTTATTGCTAGTGCGCTCAAGGAATTGGCTACCAAAGAACGAGAGGGGAAAGTCTGGACGCAGATGGAAGTCGATCTTCTGGCGGCCCTAAAGCTAGAAAGCAAAGGCGGAGGAAAGAAGACAAGCAAGCTCGATCAAATTCTGAGAAATCTGAAAAAACAAAAGGCGTTGGAAGTCTTGGACGTCCAAGCTTATTCTCCAATGATAGAGAGGCAGGCGTTGCACTCGAAATTGAAAAATAAGCATTCTGTATACACCGATGCAGAGATGACTGAAGTGACGCAGCTAGCAGAACAGTATTACCGACTGAAAGAGCAGGCCGACACTCCGGTCCATCCGAATCTGATCCATACTGCTACAGAACAGCTGCACAATGAAGCTTTATCGAAAGAGGAGCGAGCAATCCTATTTCTAGAGGAGAAGAAAGAGCGCACGGGGATCCACGCTAGTCAAAGGAGGCTCTTGAGGAAGTTAAAGCAACTGAAGGAGGGCGATCCCCCGGTGACCATCCCAGAGGAGGCAAACAAATGGGTCCAAGAACATCTCAAAATCGTCACACAAATTCCCGACCGTTCGAAGGCCAAGCAATTCGAAGAAGCCCTTTCCAAGACACCGGAGCTTATGCCTGTTCAGGGCATGCACGAGTTGAAAAAAGCCCAGTTCTATGATGAGGTTGTTTACTCAAGACCTGCGTTTGAATGGTGGGCCGAGAAATCTTCGGAGACCACGGATAACACACAGATTCTCGAAGGACATCGGGAAGATCTTGTCCCGGCGGAGAGATATCTTACTTTCCCCGAGAGATGCCAGGTTTTGGTCCTTTCGAACACCTTCCGAGTGAGCCCAAACCGACAGCTTCCTAGCGTAGAGAGCTTGGCTCTGAGTCGACTCGACGCGCTCACCACACTCAAAGACCTCAGCCAACAGGAGATGAAACTTCGGGATGGTTTATCGCGAAAGGATTTCGAGATGATCAACAGCCCCTCAGGGAAACAGATGATAGAGAGCTTGGCAATCGAGGAAACGTTGCTCAAGATCTGCAAAGCTACGCGAGCAGACCAGAAGCTGGTCATCCGACTAGCGCAGAACATCCAGATAGGCGATCTGGACGAGTCTGCCCGACAGAAGCTCGGCCATCTTCTTCCAGCGGAGCTCGAAACCCTTGGCCATCTCATCTCGCTCCAGGATGACGACCATGAATTCCGGGAGGCCTCCAAGTTTTCCCGGATCATGGAGCTCATCATCCGCGCTTCCGACCGCATCACGCTGGCCCCTAAGCTCTCAGAGAATGACGAGCTCATCAATTTCCTCGTCTCCGACGCCCAAAAACCCCGGATTCTCAAACTCCCTCCGGCAGAAGAAAGGAGGGTACTCAACTACTTGCACGCTATCCTAGATCAACCACTCGCGTCCAAAAACTCATGACCCTCATTAACACCGTGTGAAATACACAATCCCTCCCCCCCCCCCTCCCCCCGTAAGTCAAAATACTAAAGAACAGGTTATGGAGACATGCATGCGTCAGTACCACTCACGTCCATTTGTTTGTGCAGGTTTCGCAGTGACAGGCTCCATACAAATGACAATAATTTTTTTTTTCTCTTCCGTTTACTATACCGCTGTTCGATTTTCTCTTTTCTGCTAATTGAGCGTCTGTGCTTTGTTATTTAATCATGTTACAAAAGCGGCACAAGGTCATCCAACGAAAGCCAATCAAAATTTCTCGCCTGAGGCTGGATCAGGCTCAACAGCATGTAAATGTGAAATCAAGTTGAGGAGAACATGTTGAGTCCTTGGGGAGAGTGGCCGTGTTCTGTTAGTCCTGTGATGAGTGAAGAAGGATACCACTTGGATCTATTGCCAATCATCAAACCAACAGGGGAGCGGGGGTTGAATGCAAGGAATGTGTATTGGTCAGACTTTTTTTGTATCTTCCTTAGGCATGATTAGGTCTCTAACCAGGTTACGGTGTAGCATGAGAAAAAGTCGGAATTGACATCTTCGGAGTATCATCTATGTGTTATTTCTTTCTAGATTAGCAAGATTCGATTAGTGAGATGAGATGCTTAGTCGAGGGGATTTATCCTGGACTGACAACCGATCAGGACAAAAAGGAGAACCAATGAAAGATGGGAGGATGTATGCACAAGAAGCAAGAACAAAGAACAATATGAGGGTCGTAGTCATAAAAATGCGCTATCAAACAGGTTTAAGGCATCATTACATAGGGAGGAAAGGATGGCATAATCTATCAATGATTGATTGATTCATTTTGGATTTAATCTTCCTCCGATTTGAAGCTAGGAGTAAATATTGGGAAAATGTGGGCTTCTGTATTGAAGACATAAGAGTTCAAAGGTATAAGTGAATCATCGGAAAATAAAAGTAAAAGGTATTTCAATGTTTCAGCCTGAAAGAGTCGAATGAAGTCATTGTACAGTGGGCACAGATCAGAAGAATAGAGAAAATCAGCAATACATTCAACAAAAAGACAAAATAATCACGGGAGGGGAAACATGAGAATTCAACACGTAGTGAATGTGACTAACAAGCCAAAAGGTTTCCATTTTGTTTTCCCTTGGAGCGGGGATCTGCTCCACGTCCTTGATGGAGGAAAATGCACCCGTGGCTTTGACTTTACAATGTTCATCAAAAGCTTGGAATATCTGCCATCCCCACTCGCTTGATCCCACATGAAGCCGAAAAGAAAACCGACGTTACGTGTCAGTTACCAGCAAACAAAATGCGTAATGAGAGATGGGGGGGGGGCAAACCTAAAGTGACACTCACCGATATATTGGGTCCTTAGTTGTCCTCCACGCCAGAAATAATGATTCTACTGTTTCTGGCCTTAAAATATTGCGAGCATCAAGTGGTGGAGATCGACTGACGCAGCAAGGAGGCAAAGGAGGCAATCAGAAATCGAAGTCGAAGCCATCCCACACATCTCTCATAACTTGAGGATGGCGATGAAGCTTAGCTTCACATATGACGCAAGCCAAATAGTCTTACGGGCTGTAGTTAGGAATACCCCACTCTCGTTTTTTGATTTTGTCAAAATCTTCTGGTCGGTTGATGAAATGCACAATTTCGGGTCCCAATCCGGTCTTTGACAGTTCGTAGGTATTTACGCAAGACTTGATAAGCTCTTTTCCCAGAACCCAATCTTCTTGGTTGGAGTCCGGCAACTTCAAAACATCCTGGTCTTGTAATGTTCGATCACCTTCCGTGACTCCCAAGAGTAACAAGCCCCCCAAGAAACAAACCAAATGATCTTGTTTCGGTAGAAAACGGTAACTGGAATAGCTCAAGATAAAGAGCCTGAGGTCAGACTTTTGAAACTCTATCTGACCCTGAAGAGCCTAAGTTGGAATTGCTTACGATTTCCGGCTTGGATGAAGTTCACCAACATACACGACCCCACCAGGAGTTTCACGAACCAATTCTTCTTTCACCCCTGTCATAGCTTCGTCATACATCTCCCTGTAAACACCTTGAGTGCGATTCGTTTGGAGGTACTGCTTGATTAAATACTCATAATATGAATCACCCCGGGAGCCCAATCGAATAACATAAAACTAGAAAATGGATGACCATGCACCAATCGATGTCAATTGTACGCTCCAAAGACATATCAGAAATTGAAAACCTTACAAAAGAGCCATCTTGGGGACTTCAACAAAGAAACAAACGAGCAGCTTTGGTTAGTTGGATGAAAGATTAGGGGACAGCTCAATATAAACTATCAAGGACCGAAATGACCGAAATCCAGGAACCGAAAGGTCTTACGAAACTAGAATGGGGAAGAGACCATGGTGGCTCTCTGCATGCTTGAATACTTTCATGGCCTAATGTTGTATTCAGGTCAGGTACTGTTAAGTGACGAGTCATAACGAGTAGCGGAAAAATAACAAGAGCTCACCCCCTCGGCGACGTCCCAAAAAATGCGTTTTTGAGACAATTCAGCTAGATACTTAAACTCGAGCTGTATAGTCCTGCAAAAGAGAGGCATTTGAGATCCAAATGAATAAAATTTGATGAATTCAGCATCTGTTTATTGAATATAAGTTCGACGACGGTACACCAACGAGTCATGAAAAGGTCCGAGAACCTACGTTGCTTCTGCCAGGCTACTGTATCCTCCATTATCTCTGTCTGGTGTGGCTTTACCCGTCTTAAGATTGATAAATGAATACGGAATTCCAGTGGGCTGGATGTTAAGAAAAAGAAGCCCAAACACAAATCAAATAAGTTGAGACAATACCACTAAGAAGAAGAGTAGGCTAAAAAGGAGTCAAAAGACGCACTGAATCAAATATTGGTAAGAGTCGAGTTCCCAGGTCGATAGCTTTCTCCAAGTAGATGGTATCGTTACCAGACAGATGATAGACCGACAAAAGACCACCAAGGATTCTGATCGTTGTTTCAAACGCGTTCAGATCACCATCTACATCGAAACTCAGATCTCTTTCGACGTATTTCCTCGCACGCTGATACTCTTCGTCCATGTCACCGGTCAGTAGAATAGTATCGATTACATCCACAATGAAGCTGTTGACCGTCGCCAAAGATAAAGAAGAATGTAAGTAATTATTTTTGGCATGTTTTTTTACGAATATACATATATCAGCTTGAACGGTGGTTACTCAACAAGCCGATCGATCCAGCCTTGGTCAGGTTGGATCCTGTTTGACTGATCGGATGAAATTCATCGGATCCCCACGCAGGACTATCCGCATAAGCCCGCCACGAGTTTTTGATCGCTGTCTTGATGGCTGAACGTGCACTGGACTCCCATGGCAGGGTGGGTAGCGGATAGCGGTTGAAGGTATTTGATGTCCGGTCCGAGATTGACTCTGGCTGGGCGGTGGGAGACAGTCGACGGTAATAAACTAGCAGACATCCGACGGCCAACAGGAAGACTACGACCAGGTTCCTTCTGCCTTGAGATTCTGGCTCCTTCTTCGATCGGCCCGAGGTTATGGATTGTTTCTGTTGAGCCGCTGATGAGATGGTGGTATGACCTCGGTGGCGTAGGTCTGACATCATTCAACTGAACTCGTTCTTGCCCGTTCCGCGTGGAGAACTACTCCGAACCTTGCCGAACTTCCGGTCGATCTCAGACACCCCGAACTTGGAGCCACACAGGGCAGGTCTCAACCTCGGTGAGCCCCGAAATCATGCGGCAACATTGATCATTGTCCACCGCCAATAAGTTTTCTCAAAACCTTTCCTTTGTAGTGATTTTCCATCTAGGAAATATCCCCAATCTCATCCATCAGAATTGAGACCCTTCGGTTGCTTCCTTCCCACATCGATCAAGGAATGAAGTTGAAATTTGCTGTATACAGCCAAACCAAGAAAGCTTGCGTTCTTGGTTGGCAAAAAAAAGAATTTTTTTTCCAAAGCTGGAATGTTTGGAAGACTACACCACCCTGTATGCCCACTGGCAAAAAGGGTTTACTTTTTTTTTGCTATTTTTTCTATCACTTAATTTCAGCTCATGAGGGTAAGACCATTAAAATCTTGATGGCAATCTTGGCCTTGCCCCTCCTCAATGTGTTGCTCCCCCTGCCTCAGCCCCCCAGCACAGTGGCAAGCCGGGTCCTGTTGCAAGAATTTTGAAATCCATACACTTGATGTATTCTTCCAAACCTTCCGACTCCAGTCAATGGTTTGTTTTATTTTATTAGAAATTCCACCAACCTAGACTGCAAGCTTTCTCAGTATGGCTGTAATTGTGTGTTTCCATCATTCTGGAGGCTACAGACAGCTCAAAAGTCTGAATTTTTTTGAAAAAATCTTGAATTCTTTGACTCAAGAATTTGGACACCCTTGAAATCCAGGGTTCTTTGCCATCGGCAACTGTACTGACCACATTTCACTCAGAAAATCGACCATTTTTGATTATTTATGTCCAGTGGGTTGCCAGAAAAGTCCAAACCCCACATTTGGGTTTAGATTTTGCAGGTGTCACCCCTGTGAAATTTGGGTGCACTGGTGCAGTGACTCCCTGCTTGATCAACATTTGTCTCTTGACCACTCCATTTTCCAATTGTTTCACTCATCTCAAGACCTCCAAATTGATTTCAGTCCAGCACCTAATGGACAGAAAGTAACTTTGCAACTTCCTCAAGCCAGATTTCCAAAGTACTGGACAGTCATCAACAATGGTCTAAAAACATGAGTAAAAAATTGTAAAAAGAAGGCTTTGTGTTTTTTTCTACTTGATCTTCTTCTCTCATCATTCCTCCCAGCCTCTTGACAATCCTTCCACATTTCTTTTTTATTTTTCCTGGCCTTATCAAAAAATACGGACATTTGTACTTTTTTGCTGTGCTGTATCTCTTTTTTTCTCCAATGAAACAAAACTGGTCCCATACAGTCAACTCCCTATCAAGCCATACCCCTTGGTGGACATGTTTTGCTATGGGTTAAGGGAGAGTATGGGTTAATAAGTCAAGTTTTTAGGCATTTTTCCCATTTTGGTGGACAAATTTCCTAGAAAAATGTATGGCTGAAGAGGGGTTATGGATTAATAGGTCATGGTTTAAGAGGGAGTCAACTGTAGTTGTTTTCTGACCCCCTTGTTGTCCCAGCCTTCCAAAAAATTAAAAGATGTGAGATGGAACCCCAATATTCAGTGTCAGGGGGTTCCATTTTTTCTTTCAAACCACTGTGCATCACCTGTTTTTCACTTATCTAAAGGACTTCCTACAACACCACTGTTCTCCAAGGAAAGGCAAAAAGGATAAAAAAGTCAAAAAAACCCAAGGGGGTTGAAATTGGAAACATCAATCAGCCACCAATGATGAAGACAACCCATCTTGTTTGCTTTGCAAGTTGTCTTGGATTGTTTTCTTATTTGTCTTGGATTGCTCCCTCGATTCTTTTATCTATTTATTTTACAAATGGATTTCAATTCTTTGTTATATATACAAGTGAATTCTTGTTATTTACCCATTACAGAGCACAAAAAAAGTGAAATAGAAAAATTTCAAAGCAAGAGAAACAATAAAAGCAATGATAAGATCATCAAGCGTGGTGGATGATATCAACGGTGCAACAAGTGCAGTACGTGTATTTGTATTTACCACATATTGTACTTTCCAACTTCACATATCCACGGATTCATATTGTATTTCTCCTTGAGTACAAGACAATGTAATTGTATTTCCCCCATAATTGAATACATTGTATTTGTGAGATTGTGTATTGGGGAAAAAATACCATATGTGCCTAATACAAATACACAACTTATTTTCTGAAGCTTTAAATTCATTTCCTACATTTTGAGAGGTTTAAAGTCTTATGGTATCATTCATCTTATCCAAAAATCAATTCTTCAATCTTAATAGGGGGGTTCACAATTGAACTTTAAGGCCATTTTTAAGGTGTTTCTGATCATAAATTTATAATTTTTTTGTGATGAACAGAAGGTTCAGAAACCAATAAATTGGAAAAACTCAAAAAAATTATAAAATGTTGCTCATAAACACCTTAAAAATCACTCTAAAGTTCAATTGTGAACCCCCCTAATATATGAGCTTACCCAGTTTCTTGCATAATTTGTACTGTATACCAAATTTATTTGTATGCAAAATGTATATAACCCTCAACTTTGAAACCTTTGAAAATTTAGGAAATGAATTCAAAATTCCAAAAAATAATGAAAATTAAGCCTGTATGAATTGGTACCCTGGCAACATGTAATCAATCATGATGATGTGTGTAAGTCTACACAACATGATTTTCAAATACCATTTGGAACCCAAGACTTACCCTCCTGTTCCCTCCTCTACCAAATTAATTCCTCCACAATCAGAGCCGTACTCCCTCCAAGACCAACAAATTTGTGATGTTGAAATGTGATTGGCCCAGCTTCATCAGAACTTGACAAGTGACCTAATCAATTGAATTTGGAGAAAAAGTGAAAAACAATATTCAATCTTCTACAATGATAGCTCCAATTCAGAAAATTAAATTTTTGTTCAACTTTGAATCAATCAAAATTATATAGACAAGTTTTACTCTTTTCTCTCTTCTTAGTTGATTTATGTTCTTTTTTGATGTTTTTCATTTGCAATCAACATTATGAAATGATTTTATTTTGAAGAAACATATGTGAAAATCTTATCAAGAAAAAAAATAAGAAGACAATGATCTTTTTAAGAAAAGTATGACACCGGTGAGATAGAAAAAAATCAATAAATAACAGGCAAGTCATTCATTTCAGTAAGAAAAAGGTCAGAAAAAAACATATCAAAGAAAAAAAGTAAGGAAAAAAACCATTAAAAGAAAAAAGCGTGAAAAAACAGTTCAAGACCATCATTTCAGTAAGAAAAAAGTAACAACCAATAAAGATTGCAAAGGAAATTAAACAATCAAGATATCAAGAAGGACATTACACATTCATTCAAGATAGGGCAGGATCCACAGGTGCATCTAGATCATATAAAGACTGAGGATCACTGTTGTTGTATTCATATTCTTCATATTAACCTCCATTGTCCTGATCCTCCTCATCATATCTCACTTTTTGCTCATCTGGTTTGATAGTTGCCAATTGTGTGGAACAATTGGTTGGAGCTTGAGAGGATTGGTTGGCTGGAGTTTGAGAAGATTCACCAGTTACTGACTTGTCAAAGGATGGATCCATCCACTTGGTGAATATTGTCTGCTTTTGTGTTAGTAGGAATTGACAAGATATCTCATCAGGGCAGTTGGCTAGATTTTGAAACATAATATTAACATCAATATTCCTCTGTTTGCCTGCAACGAGGTCCTCTTGGATGTTGTTTGATTGTTTTGCCTCAGCCAATTGTTGCACCAATTCGTTATGTGAAGCTTCCAAAAGATTAAGTTTTTTTTTCTTTTGTATTTTTCATTGTTTGCTTTTTGCTTTGCCGCATGTGCTCCTATTGGACGCTCCCAGTCCTTGTTTCTTGAGTTGGCTTTGCTTGCAACATTGGTTGCATCTGGAGGTGATGCAGCCCCTGCGCCCTGAGGGGTTTGATTTTGAGTTGATGGAGAAGCACCGTTCTTGGCTTGGCCAGCCAAGGATTTGGATTTTTCCACATGTTGGAGAAGGTTCCATGGCCGATCATATGCAAACAACTTCCCAACTTGCTTGTATTAGATTTTTTTGGCACTATCTAGCCAATCTTCAAGGGAAGAACTGGAGGCTGGATTCTGCTCAAGTTGGTCATGTATTGCTGTGAACTTGAGGCAACCGTTCTGCAATATTTTCCATCTTCATGTAGATTTGAAAACCACAAGCATGAATAAGTCAGCAATCAATCTGAAAAAATGAATAAAAATTCATCTCCCTACCTTGCCTTAATAAATGGTCTTCAGCTCAATGAGGACCACCTGTAAACTTGTTGTAATCCTCAGCCACTCGCTTCAAAAAGACGTCCTTTGTTTGATTGTTGGACCGGATTGGGTCACTTCTAATGACAGACCAACTTTTTGCCAATTGTTCATATTCTTCCAGAGAGAAGTTTGGCAAGCACTTTTTGTGGTTGTTTGCGTCATTGGAGGAAGGTTCAACATGGTTGGTGGGGACAGAGGCCTGGCTTGTTTGGGTGTCTTGTTGGGAAAGAGTGCTGGTTTGGTTGTTTGTTTGTGGTGCTTGGTTGCTTGCTTGTTTGGGAGGCATTTTTCTTGAGTTGTTGGGACTTGAAGTGTTAATCTTGCTGAATCTGAATGTAGTTTTGGGTGTCTGATCCTGGGATTACTGGGGTATGAATTTGTTACCTGTTAGCTCTAAACATGATCCTGGAGCTAGTTTAGTTCATTATGAGTTGTGTCAAGCTTGGATTCAAATCTCTGAAGATCCCGCGGTAGGAACACACCAGGACGGGCACACCTTTTGGCAAAGGGTCACAACTGCTTACCATGAGGCCATCCCAACTCCCATTCAACCATTTGACAGCACCAAAAAGCAATGGGGAATCTTGCAATGCTGGATCAACAAGTTTCATGGTTACGTGCATCAAGCTGAACTGATGAATCAGAGTGATCAGTCTGCCAAAGATTGCTTAAACCGAGCTCTTCGACTATACTCACATGATCTCCAAACGCACTTCAAGCATCTTCATTGCTATAATATGTTGTTCAAATGTCCCAAATGGAACTTGTACACTCACGACATGCAAAAACAGGTTGCTTCTAAGAAAAAAGGATCAAGAAGCCCAAGTGAAGAGGCCCCGTCAACTACTCCAGCATTGACTGCCCCCAATGAATCAACGCCTGTACCATCCAATGCCGTCGATTCCGTCTTGGACTTTGAGGGAACCCCAGAAGAAGTCACAAAACTCAAGAGGCCTATGGGGAAGAAAAAGGCAAAGTTGGCTCACCAACTAGCCCTGAAGGATAGCGCCTGGAAGGAGAATTTTGCTTGAGCTCATTCAGATATTGCCTCCCAATCAAAGCGCAACAACGATATCCTTGATGTAGACTCACAATCTCTCAAGGAAATTGCTGAGAACGGCAAAGTAGCTTCTCAGCTGGCCATCAGGAACAATGACCTTGAAGGCCTTGATGATGAGCAGAGAGAATATTTCAAGTTGAAAAGAGCTCAAATTCTCTCTTTGCTCCAAAAAAGCTAATTGACTCACAAGGTTTCTCTCTGGTACAACCTCTTCTCTCCTGACTTTGGAAACATTGATTCAATCAACTGATTCTTCTATCTTTTAGGTCCACAACTCTCAATTGATCAACTATCCTATCTGTCAATGGAAGACTCTCAAACCATCTTGATAATTCTCTCAAACAATCTCAAGTTGATCAATCAAATCAATCAATGATTCTCTCAATTTGTGACTTGCGATCTCTTTCTCTCAATCTCTTTCTCTTGATTTTTGACTTGCGATCTCTCCTAGATTTTAACAACTGATCAATCGGGTTGATTGACCGTTCTACCTGTTTTTTGTGACTTTGTCTTTCCTATCTCTGTGCATCTCTTTCTCTTGACTGCCTCTTGCCTGGATCTTGAAACAACCAATCAATTAGTGAATCAATCAATCAATCAGATCTCTTTCTCTTGACTGCCTCTTGCCTCTCTTTCTCTTGACTGTGTTTCTCCTGATCCTTGAAAAAACTAATTGATCAGTGAAACAACCAATCAATCAGTAAATCAATTTATCAATCAGGGAATCGACCAATTGATCAGTGAATTGACCAATTGATCAGTGATTTGACCAATCAATCAGTGATTCATCCAATTGATCAGATTGCTACTGTACTTCTCTCTTCTCTCCTGACCATTGAATTGACCAATTGACCATATCACTACTGATGTCTTGTCCTCTCTTCTGATTATATAAATGAATACAATGTTTTGCTCTCCTCAGTTTTGATTCAATTGTGTGATTTTGTTTTGTGATATTTTGGAAACCACAAACATGAAATGAAAACAAGACATGAACTAAAATAAATTATTAATCCCCACAACCCTTGCACCCCTTCACTTCCCACTGATGCTTGATAAGATTGTTTCAAAGCTGATGATGAGTTGCTGAACTCATAGACTCATAATTTCCTATGAAAGCATCAAAGCTAAGCCTCCTGAGTCCTGTGTTGTGTGACCTCCACCGGTGTAATTACTGCTGGCGTGTTATTGTCGTAGTTGTATTGAAGATAAGTTTCCCTTTCATCCTCCACTATCATATTGTGGAGGATGATAGAACATTTAATTATGCTGGATAAATTGTGGTGTTTCCATCCTCGCGCCGGACAAGACACTATTGCAAAGCGGGCTTGGAGCACCCCAAACACCCTCTTGACATCTTTTCTTCTGGCCTCTTGCATTTTAACGAAGTGCCTTTCATCCAATCCTTCCAGCTGAGAGAGTGTCTGCCCAGTTGGGGTAGATACCATCTGCAAGGTAATATCTTTGCTTGTAGGTGTTACCGTTGATTTGATATTTGCATCTTGGGGCCTTACCATTGAGTAGATTCCTGAAGAGCAGCAAGGAGTCCAATACATTGATGTCATTGTGTGATCCGGGCATGCCATATCCACAAATTGTTTGACGCTATAGCCTCTAAGATGACCGTTGGAACCTGCATTGAATAAAGAAAGATTAAGACACATGTATTGAATAATGCAACAAACAATGAGCTAACCTTTTCTTTCCCTTGAAATTGTCCAGCCCAACCGGCTGGGCAGTTCTTACATGTCCAGTGCATACAGCCAAGTGAGCCAAGCATCCCAGGGAATCCTTGCTTGGCACCAATGGTTAGGAGTCTGTCTAAATCTGATATGGTTGGGTGTTGGAGATATTCAGAGGAATAGACAGCTACAATTGCATTGCAGAATAGGCAAGCATACGCAAAGCTGCTGTGATTTTCAGGATGGGCCGGAGTCCCATTTTGCCGCAAGCATCCGGTCTCTGTTGAAAGTAATTGTCGTGCTGTTCAACCGCCTCAGCAATCTTCAAGAATAGAGGCCAAGCCATTTGGAACCTGCGCCGGAAGATTTCATCATTGTAAAGTGGATTTGCCAAGAAGTACTGGTTTTGGAGCCTTTGATAGCTACCCTCAAAATCCCTGGGTTGATTAGGCCTTTTCCCTGGTTTGGATCTGCCATGGACAGGTTCAATTCTCTTGGATTCATCATCATCATCAAGCAATAGAGGTGTAACCTCTAGAACCGCAGTGAGTTCCATTTTCTTCCTAGCCATGAGTCGCCGTCGCCGGACAAGGATGTGGAGTATAACGGGATCAATTTCCATTTCAATGTTGAATTGTGGAAGTTGAACCTTGTTTATGATTTTTTGTTGTGATCACACACAGCTGAGGTCTAGGGGGAATCGGGGGACAGGGTCTTTGCCAGGGGAGCTAAAAGCGCGCCGCAGTCACGTGAGGTGGAAATTTGGGGACTCGGGTAGTCCCCAATGGTGGAGATGGTCTGAAGACTTCCCTGAGTGCCATGTGTTGAGAGCTTTCAGGCTAAAATTGGTAGTTCAGCTAATTTTTTAAGGGTGATACAACATTTAGGTACCCTTTGGTCTAATCTTCCAGCTTAGCTCAGGCTCAACTCTCCCCGGTGGGTAGGCGGGTGCGGTTGAGGAACACACAAATGCTCCAAGCCGGTAAAACTTGTCTGACACCATGTGGAGATGCAATATCTTCCCTGTAGACAAGCGGGAGCAGCTTTGGTCTGGAAATTGCGTTCTTGCGCGTCGACATCAAGGCTGCGTGCCAAGCGTCTGCCGAAATTGGGGTCGTCCCTTCTCGTCAACCACTCCGCCATCGGCAGGTTGTAAATACCTGCAGGAAAGCCCAGCTTGCGTACCGAGAGTGCAACACAACGTCATGAGAGGATGGTTCTCAGCCTGGTCCCTGGAATGGGGGCCGGAGCCATCTGGAACATTCCACGATCTTCAATTTATGTATGTACTAACATATTGACTTAATGACTTTATGTATGTATGTACTTAATTGCAGAATGATATTGTAAATCTTGACATGCTGTGATAACGGTCGGTCAACAAACACGTGAAATGGGCGAAGGATTCTTATCGGTCCAATCGGGTCCTGGAGGCTGGTGTACCGCATGTAGATCCGATATGTATCGGAGAAGAGAAAACCTGAGAAAACGGCAAAAACGGGCAGAAACACTGATCTACCTACAGCCGAGACCTAACCAGGTGCCAGCCGGTTTTCCCTATAAAGTGGCCGCGTTCCACCCTGCCCTCCCTCCACGCAACAAGTTGTACATCTTGCCATTAACCTCGTCGATTGTAGCAGCTACCGGTAGGTCATTGAAGTTTGATAGCTTCTCTTAATTCCCCTGGGGCCATTTCCCTTCAATTGTCTGGCTCTCCATGTTGATCTCCAACCCCCTCTGATCGATCAACTAGCAAAAGTAATTGATTGATTGATTGAGTGATCTAACCACTTCGCCCTATTCTTGTTTGTGGTCTTTAACCAGTTCTTCAAGCCACCCACTTACACATCCAACTCAACTCAACCAGGTCCTACCATGTCGCAGCCAAAACCCAACTGCTTCTTTGTGAGTTTTCCCTCATATCCAGTCTCTTTTCAGCCAGCAAGGCTAGTTGTGGTATCCTTGACTTATTGTCTTTGTCATATTGAAATATCATCCAGGATGTCACCGTCAACGGCCAACCTCTTGGTCGTATTGAATTCAAGGTCAGTCAGTCCCATGCGCCATGTAGCTTGGCCTATCGTATTGTGGCTTTTGTCTCATCTCGACCTCTCCCTCTGCCTGCTCCACCTTTCTCCCGAGAATAGCTCTACGATGAAGTCGTCCCCAAGACTTGCGAAAACTTTCGCGCACTGTGCACACTCCCCCCAAAGAAAGGCTACAAGGGCTCTGCTTTCCATCGAATCATTCCCGCATTCATGATTCAGGTAAGTACCCCATTTGATCAAACAAGTCTTCTGCTCGTTTGTATGTAGAGGATCTGATCTAGGCTGCCATTGATTCAACTTAGGGTGGTGACTTCACCGTCGGAAATGGCACTGGCGGTCATTCCATCTTCGGAGCCAAGTAAGTGGATCCCCAAAATTGCTCCTGTCATCCGAATCAAGGTGGGCAATCCCATTAGCTGAGCTTATCTTTGGGGTAGATTTGCGGACGAGAACTTCCAGCTCAAACACACCAAGCCAGGTAAGACTATGTATACGTCTCCTCCCCGTGGAAGCATACTGATCTAAATCTGGTTTCGTTTACAGGACTCCTGTCCATGGCCAACGCTGGTCCCAACACCAACGGCTCCCAGTTCTTCATCACCACCGCGGTTACTGAATGGGTGAGTAGTCTGCTTTGATGACCAATTTCTTGTGTGGTGCTACAGCCACAAATGACTTATTTGATATCATCTGAACCTGGTAGCTCGACGGCAAACATGTTGTTTTCGGAGAAGTTGTCAAGGGCTTCGAAGAGGTTGTTAAACCCATGGAGGCGCGAGGAACCAAGCAGGGTACGCCTCAGGGCACCATTGTGATCGCTGACTGCGGCACCCTCTAGACGCCGGTCGAGCGCTCCCGTATTAGAGTCACTGCTTAACCCGTAGACTGCACACAGTATCAAAAAAAAACCTTATGAAATTGAATGTCTCACGTTGTACTTGATGCGATCGATGTGGCCTCGCCGGAGTTGCCGATCGTGTGACTTGTGAGCGGCTCTTGATTCCGGCGGCATTCGCCAAGTGGCGGGCCGACGGCAAGCAAAAGTTTGCCCCTTGAGAACCGAGCCTCTTAAGCCTAGCCTCTCGAGTAAGAGCCTGTGCCCCGCAGGGTATGTCTCACAAGCGTCCACGCCCCTAGGCCCGGGAGGACCTGGCGTCCCCTCTCTTACATAGTCTCCCCAGCAGTCAGCATCCAAATGGACCGGGTTTGGGTCATAAAACGGTGCTCAAACCCAACCCAGCAGCTAGCTCAACAAATCCCCTCGACAGAGGGCCGGAGGCACCTCGCGAAGCGATCCTCTCAAAGAGGGGCTGCTAAACACTCAAAATTTTTCACAACCCGGCTGCTATCCCAATACCAAATATAACATCAGGATAGCAGTTCTACATAGCTTAACAAAAGCCCCTTGATTTGTTGGGCCAGGTATTGCCTGGCTGACGCAAAGCGAGCCTCCAAAGGAGGGGCTTTTGAGCAATGCTTTTTTTGGCGTGAGCACTGATGACGTTTTGGTGTGGAGTTTTTGTCTTCTTATTTTTCAGACCCTACCTACAACCAAGCCAGATGCCCTTTGGACAGTCAGAATTGTCCAATCTGTCCGCATCTTTTGGTGTAACTCCAAACTCAACATCTTTCTGACAACCCTCTTGCATTTTGAAAGAGTGTTTTTTCTCTAGTTCTTCAGGCTCCAATAGAGGTTTAACAAACATGCCCCAATTGGAGTAAATCCTGTCAGCAAGAAGGAATGAGGTCATTGATGCTGTTGTCATTGTCAAGAATTAATTTGGCCGCTTCAAGTATTCAAACTTGCAGTTAAGTGTTGCCTTTGGATTGATATTTTGACAAGGGCTTCTTTGGTCAAGGGGTTCATGGCTGTCAGAAGTGTTGAATCCATTGTTTTTGGCAAGTTGTCAATGGCTGTGGTTGAGAAGCACTTTTTTAAAGCGGGTGTGGATGGGGAGGAGGACATTTCACAAGGAAGAGTTGCCATTTTTGGCAGCTTGTGGTGTAAAACCTCCTTGGTGTGGGCTGCTAAAAATGTGCTGCAGTTGACAAACTTCAAGATTTGGCAGCTCAGATAGCAGCTTAGAGCATCATTATCGGTTCGATAAGTTGACGCGAGTTTTAACGCGCATGGATTGGCAAGTTAACTTATCGACCCCCATCCAGTCGCACCTTAGAGCATCATTATCGGTTGCTAAGTTAGCTTGAGTTAAGCCACTTACCACCGAATTTCAACCGCACCGGACCGAGCTAAGTTGGTGATAACTTGCCTCGATGGTCTGTTTTCAGCTAACCGTTGGTAACTGTAGCAATGGTTACCAACGTAGTTAGCGAGTGCGATCACTCCAACTTGGAGTCCACCCGCCCACACTACACACCACCACTCCAAATCACACCCGGCAAACTATTGTCGTTTGAAGAATCCTTGGACGGATTTGAAAGATTTCCAACGAAAATCCAGGATTTTCAGCATTCAATTTGGGATTTTTTTTATTTCTTAAGGCCATGATGACGTCATTGACAGTCATTGACCACAGCAACTACTTAGCTGTGGATTACTGATCTCAATGGCCAGCCAGGGCCCCCAGCCGGGGTCAGGCAAGGCCCCATCCACTCCTGAAGACCGCCCAAACAATCAACTGTAGGTAGGAATTGAGGCGCAATAATCAGCGATGTTGCAAATCGGATACGATTTGTTAGGACGAGAGAATCCTCCGCCGGGCTACCATTCGGCCTCTGAGAATTGGAGGATCCATGGTATAGGACCAGAGCCAACCAAACTCCGTGTAAGTCCTAATTCCCCTAATTTTTTGAACCCAGCATCGGTGCCTTTGCTTACTGCCTTGATTTTTTTCTTGCATGTATGCAGCCACAGTTTATTTCCTGCACAACGAAGTTCAAGCTGTATTTCCCAAGGAAGGGAAACCAGTGTGTATATGATGAATTGTCATCAAATGGCGAATTCAGTTATTTGATTTGGGCTGGATCGATTGGCCTTCAAGAATTCTATAATCTTGCAGTTGACAAATGTGAGAAGAACCGTGTGGGCGCTGGAGATATCATTCGAGATGCCGTGGCATCGGGATTGCCACGAATGGACTGGTGGATCAGTCTTAAGCTCAGGACCGCCCCACAGTTCAATAAAACTGCCAAACCGAGGCCCAAAATCAATGATGAATCAGCTTTTGCGGCCTGGATGCAGGTGATCATCGATAGCGGTGCCGATAACACCAACTCATACTTAATTAGTGATGGAAAATCCAGCAGTTGCCAAAAAAAAGGCCAAGACTGATCAAGCGGCCAGAGCGTACAAATTGGCCCGGCAGGCTGCCCAAGATGCAAATGCTTCTAAGCGACCTGCACCGGGGCAAGACCATCCGGATCAAGCTCCAACAGCGGCCGATTTCAATACAGGAAACGTCCTGGCCAACAAGCTCTTGTCGATCCACCGGCCCAACACCAAATACAAGAGAAAGCTCCCAGTGTTCATCCATCCGACCGAAGACAATCAGTATATTCCTTTGACTGGCGCCGTGCTTGACATATGGGCTACAGCACTTGTGAGTTGCTCAAATGTTAAACATGGCTTGGGGGTTAGTTTGCTCACTTCATCATTTTATTGCTTACAGGAGAAATCTGTTGACGGAGTCAGCCTGTACTCACCCCCAGCCAGCATCAAATTTGAAAAAGTTTCAGCAGCCAAGAGACAACGATTAGATGATGATCGACCCCGCCGCAAATACAGTCCAACTTCCGACTCTGACTCATCTGTGTTAATCCAACCAGATGACAACTTGATGCGCAAGTACGTAAAATTTGTCATCAAGCCCGAGAAACGAGATGCAGTGCTTCAAATTCTGGACCAGCACAACATTGTTCACCCAAAGCTGTTCAAGTCAAAGACTATCACCGAAGAGAAGATGAGTAAATGGGGCTTGAGTGATGGCATTGTGGCTCAGTTACGCGATAATGTCTCTAGATTTGATAAAAATCCTCAGTAATGAGGTATATCTTCTCAGCAGCAGTATGATATGTATCCCTACCTTTTAACCTTCCATCATCTCCAATCCAGCACCGTCATACCCAACCAGAATCCTTCAATCTAGCCATTACCATATCTATAGTTTATCTTATACCAATCTCTTTCCCTCACTGAACATGTCTTACCTTCTCCGACTCCAAGTAGCTTATTCACGTAGTTCATGTCTGACTTTGTATGTACCAAGACAGCTGTCTTGTTGATTATATGATGAATCAATAACTACCCCGAACCTTTGGTATTTGCCAACTAGAAAAAACATAATGCACCATAAATTCAATTGTTGTATCAGGTGATTGAAACACAATATTTTGCACAGATTGCATGGCCTAGTTGGCACTTGGGTATGTTTCAATCAGTTTGACATTTTATGTCTGTTTGCATTCTCTCAAAGACTTTAATCACACCATTTTCAGTTAAAGATATCGATTTAGTTACAAAGGGTTATATTGTGCAATGGGACATCGATGTTGGGGGATAAGAAATGGATAATGAAACATTGATAATCTTGCAGATACAACTTTTGCAACACTGACTTTTGTGATGAAAGTTCAACAGGCTTGAGGATAACAATCTATCTTACACTAGGGACTAATCAAAAGTCATGTAGGGAGAGACAGTCAGTACTCAATATTTGATTCAGTGCATTTAGTGAGAGTACAAGACAAAAACAAGCAAAGAAATTCTGACCTGAATGAACGGTTAGTAGTGTGGTACACAATATCCACAATGCTGGTAAAGTTTGTAACACAATTCAGCTGTCATGACCTCACCAGTCACTCAACAAATTTCCCATTCTGGGTCGTTTGTTCTTTCCAAAATCCTCGAAGATCGGATCTCCTGCTTGACCGCAGCAAAAGCTAGCTCGATGGGGTTCAGTTCCGGGCAATATGGTGGTAGATAGATCAGTTGGACCCCAGCTGCCTCGCAAAGCTCGGGAACGTGCTTGCCTCGATGCCAAGTCGCATTGTCACAGACCAGGACTGAATCAGTATCAGGATATCTGTTCATTCGAGGGAGCTTTGTTGACAACAGTCAGCATACATCATTGAAGCAAAAACGGAGAGATGTCTTACCAAGTCATACTCCAAAAAATGCTCAAACTTGCGACCGTTAAAGTTTTCAAACGTAGTGGTGAGGCTAACCATTCCAGTGATCGATATCGCAGGGAGCAGATTTAGTCTTGCTGCATTTGAATTGACCAAGAATCGCTTGGCTGGGGCACCTCGGAGCGACCTGCCAAAGCCCCGAAGCAAGTCCTTGTCGACGAAGCCACTTTCATCTAAAGTTGACATGTTGGGAGGGTCAGCTGAGTCCATATCAACAAACAAGACAATCTGATCTAAGTACAGACCTGTAAACACCAGGAACTCGGCCGGATAAAACTCCATGCGTTCAACATACACATACTTGGCCACCAACGACTTCCGGATATGCTTGGTCTCGGGTTTCTTTAAGGTAATCGACAATCGCTCGACGAGATTCCGATGGATACCAGATTGACTAAGGAGGACTCCGGTCGAGTCGTACAGGTGCTCCCGGATCTCGTCGACAAATAAACCAGGCTCACGTTGGACAAGACTCACCATGAATTGACAGTCTTCTCTGGAGAGTAGAGCAGGTCGTCCGCGGGACTCGTAGGTCTCCGGATCCTTGATGACACGTCGGGTTTCCTTGTAAAGTTTGAGCCATCGTCCAAACGATTGCCGAGAGATCCCAACACCAAGCAGCTGGCAGATTTCGGGAAGCGACAATCCCTGCTGCGCCATTCGAACGGTGGTGATCTTGGTAGCCGATAAACCATTGAGGAAGGTGTTGTTGTGGGTTGAGGCGGGTGCGGTGAAGAGGTAGAAAACAGATCGGATGGGCACATGTCCCATCACAGCCTGGTGGATTGATTGGCGGCTGTGTGAGGTAAAAACCGCCAGATTAAACCCGGGCTGTGCACCCCAACCACATAACTTTAAGAGTTGGAAAACGTTCATTTGTCCAACCTTTACTCAAATGACAATACACCGGTGCAACTGAATGGGGGTCGATAAGTTAACTTGCCAATTCATGCGAGTTAAAACTTGCGTCAACTTATCGAACCAATAATGATGCTCTTACAGTGGAGACGGTCTAAGGTACAGGTCAATCAATGCCTAGCCTGGAACAAGCCCCTCAATTGGAGGTGTGTCAAGACCTTGCACACCTCCAATTGAGGGGCTTGGGACCTAAGTCAGTTTTTTTGGCTTTTTGGTGGCGGCAAACTTCCCTCCACTATCATCCCACCTTCCTCCTGGAATTTTCAATGCCCTGTTGAGCCATTAGAGCCACATGGATCTTGTCTTTCATCTGAGAAAACTTGGGCCTATCCTTGGCTTCCTGACCCATCCAAAAAGCCTCTCAAAATTTATGATTTCTAGGATCCAGGCCATCTAAATCCAAATACAGGATTATACAGGTGTCCAGATCCAAGAAATCATCAACTTTTCATAGCTTTTTGGATGTCATGGAAATCCAAGAGCAGGTCCAATTTTTGGTGGGTGGTAGGCAAGATCCACACAATTCTATTGGTCCAACAGGGCCCTTTTCAAGAGGAAGGTTTGATACTAATGTAGGGAAGTGTCCCATCACTAAAAAGTCCAAAGAGCTGACTTTAGTCGTAAGCCCCTCCTTTGAAGGCTTGCTTTGTGACACCTCCAAGATTGAGGGGCTTGTAACTGAGAGGGGTCTAAAAAACACTTTAAATCGCGACGGGAAGTCCTCTAATGCCCGTTGTTTCGAGGCTGAGACGCTGGATCCATAGGGCTAAAGGAGCTTACTCCTTGCCAAGTACATACATTCAAGATCGCTCCTTTTTCCGGGCCCGGTTTACCAACTCGAGGCATGTTTGGATTGACCTGAAATTACTCTCTTTCTCACTGATCCATCAGGCGTGTTACATGTTCTTCACGGGGGGGAGAAGAGTTTGGAAATTTTGAGCCGTTTCAAGAACCAATCAGGCTGGCATGCTGCAGTGAGAGGGTTTCACTTCTCCTATTGCAGAAATACGGTCTCTGGATTCTAGCCCAGAATATATGGACGGCACCGGGCAACCCTGGCGAGTCATCCATGACATAGCTCCGAATACTCCATCAGTCAATATAAGTATTGGGTCAGAGTGTCTCCAACCAACTTTCTTCCCACCATAATTACTATATTTAATTTCAAGTATCTATTCCATCTCAAATATCTATCTATTCCACCTCAAATATATATTTCCCTTATATCTATACCGAAAGATGCACCTCTTGAGCATCTCCACTTTCGTCAGCTTGTTGGTGGCCTTCCCTTTTGCCACCCAGGCCTCATCCTCGGTCCCCAAGCTTGAACGTCGGCATCACAAAAATCACGCCCCCTATACTAACGTCTACATGATGAGACAAGACTTGGATTATTCCCAAGGCCCTCTTCCGATTTATACATCCGAAGGCACCGTTGCATTCCTATTTGTCAAAAGTGTTCATAACCCTCGTCGAGGAGAGTCTACCGCCAAACTCATGTCCAACACTTCAGTGCCCATTTTCGAGCTTTTCTCGGTCAGTTGCACCCGATCCGTCACTTTTAACCATCTTGAAACAGCTCGGTAGCCGCCACAGCTTATCATCTCTGACGCCACGGTCCACAGACAAATGATGCATGTTATTTAGACTCAGTGTACAAAGAGGCGCCCCCCGCAACAGCGGACTTCGCCATAGAGCTCTACACCCACGGTCTTTTGAAAGATGATTGGAGGTTCAACTTCCATAACACCACCGGGGTGACAGAAAACTACAAGTTTGTTAGAAATTATGCGAACAAAGCAGGTATGTCCCTCCAAGACATCGAATCAGATATCCAACGAACCACACCCTGACCGAAATACACGCTTGCAGGTAAAATTTACAACGAAGTCGAGGGTCACAACGGCGATTTGATAGCAAAGCTCTCGAGTAAGTTTGACATATCTCGGCATACAGAACCAGCGGCACAACACCTAACTCCCATCCCATTTCCCCAGACCAAAAACGCAAGGATTCCTGGTTATTAACTAAGGGTCACAAAGAAGTGGAGACCTACACCCTCTCATGCACTGCCAATTCTCCACAGGTCCGTTTCCCTCACCAGCCATGTAAAAACCCGTAACCATCATTGATTCGTATTCATCGTTCTCCAGATCGAATTGGTTACCCTCATGGCCATGGTTTTACATCGAGTCGATGCTTGTGGACTCTAACAGCACCCCATTTTTTACCTGTTAACTACTTGCCATCACGTATCAAATTTTTCAAATAGCCCTGTGATTTGTTTTTATTCGCGTTCATTCAACTGTCCACCTTCTTTGAAATTTTCAAAATCACTGCCTCGCTTATTGACATTGCGGGATGATCCACTTGAGCGCGCAGTATGGCTTCTATATGTATCAGCACGTTGGTACATTTAAGCAGCTGCCCAGTCCACTCTACAAACCCAAGTTGTCGCGAGTTGTCAAATTCAACCATGGTCTCAATGGAGACGTACGACGTAGAGTTCTAGCGAACTATTCATGATACCAGCGCTCTTCTTCGGAAGATGGTTGAACTTTGCGATCGATTTCGATTCCTCAGGGCTGAGTACACGGTAACCGCCGTCATCGAAAATCCTCACCGCTGGGCTAAGATTATGACTTTTGCATCGATGGAACCTATACCCTAGGAGCGGTAAACGCAGCGCACCTCGTCGCTCGCCACTTGTAAAAACGTTGGATTTAAACGCGCTGCGCGACACGCTAGACGTTGGCCCTGTCGGCTTTTTCGTATGCATTAGTTATAGCAGCTGAGAAAATCCTAGCTTAACACAAGCCCCGCCTTCATCGACTCACGAAGCGAGCCCCCGAATGGAGCCTCGCTTCGTGAGTGAATCAAGGTGGGGCTTGTGTCTGGCTAGGAGAAAGTCCCGCTTGCGCTACATAAAATTGCAAGGCAACGCAAGCACCTTTTGCCGATACAGCGCAAAAGCACTGAGGTGCCGCTTAGCGCAGAGGGGGTACATACTCAGCAAAGTGGCCCTAGTACAGCCCAGGAGCTCCCCTGGAAACAGTCCATTTAAGGTTCTGTCTGTGTTTCTGCCCACAAGTTTCCCACCAACCCACCTTTTTCTACTTTCACCCTTGCACATCGAATTCAAGACTTTGAGGGAGCTTGGCCTTGTGAAGCAACCCTCCGTCAGGAGTGACTCACACCCTATGCCCCAAATTGTGGCAAGTGTGAGTCGTATGTACATTTTTGATGCTATCTATGTCTCTACTGCCTTTTTGTGGTCTAAGACGTGTTTGTTCATGCAGGAAATCCAAAAATTAAATTTTCAGTTTAAAAAGTCATTGATACATTTGCTGAGCAGACTAGACCTGTCAAGAGGCTCTTGTGGCACCCAAACTTGAAATGTTCTAACAAAATTTTTGACAGCAAAAATTGTGTAGGTAGCACAGGAATAATTATGCCTGAAACACAACTATAGCTATTTTTCTCAATTAAAGCATTCAAGCAAGGAATCACTAGTTGCCATCTAGAAAATAAATATCAAAATCAAATATGTAAAGACTTGAAATATAATTCCCCCTCCCTCCTTTATTTTATCATCCGTAGAGTTCTATGGAGATAATTTATGTACCCTACTATTCCTACATAGCTCGGCGAATTATCCTCTTGGATAAATTTGTAGCCTTTGATGTAACCGAGTAGTTCAAATTAGTTGGGCTTTCACGATATGGTAGTACCAGGAAGTGGATTCCTGTAAAGCAAAGAGGAAATGATATGTTCTAATGGAAACGAATAAAGGTGGGATTCGTACAATTTGAAACCATCAAAGTGGGCACTTAGGCTGGCACAGATCCCTCCTTTCTTCCGCATTAGAGTGGCGGTGTTTCAAACCAACCTGACCGAGCCTGACCGAGGGGACCGAACCGAGGAACTTGCGACAAGTTCGGGAAACTGCATGCTTCGTTGAGAAAGTTTCACTCTTAGTATACCCTCGTATTCGTTTGCTGAGCGACGCCGTGGAACGTCTTTTCGATAATGCACAGCTTTCGGCAAGGAAGCATATTAATCGGGCTTGGGCGGGGCCTCATCAGGATGTGTCAACCCCACTTTCTCCTCAATTCAAGATCAAAATGCAGTTGTCCGGTGTAGCTGGGATTGCCAGCCTGTTAGTGGTATCTGCTATTGCCACCCAAAATTCAACTTCCTCACTCTCCAATCTTGTACGCCGACATCACGACCATGCCTCGTTCACAAACGTTTACATAATGAGGGACAAGGTGGACTACTCGCAAGGATCTCTTCAGGTTCACAACCCCGACGGCTCTGTCGCTTTTCTATTTGATAAGGTTATGCGAGATTTTCAAAATGGGATATCCACAACTGTGGTAATGGACCGGCATTCTAAACCTCTACTCAGGTTGGATTCGGTGAGTTCAGCTCCCTGAATTGTAGTGTACTCATTCACGAGAGCAAACTATCAGGACGACCGATTGATTACGATTTTTCCTGCATATCACAGCAAGGAGACATCTGCAAGCACAAGTCTTGGTACATCGAGCCGGACGCCGCCGGGTCAAACCACACTAGGATAGAAATTAACCCAAGATTTTGGAAAGCAGACAGGTGGTATGTCAGTTTCGTAGCACCTTCGGGTGAGCAATTCAGGTTCATATTCAAGAGAAAATTTTGGGACAAGGGTGGTAGGTCCAGTGCAGACCTGTCTTACATTTTGCCTCCATTGTTGCCAAACCACTCACTGAATACTATGCCGCGCAACCCCCAGGAAAAATTTACAGAATGAGAAACGGTGAAAAGAACGAACTCTTGGCTGAGCTCGCTGGTTAGTCTTATCTTGATTTCCATGCTAACGCCAAAGTGATTTAGAACTGATCATCAGTTGAGTTAGATCAAGTTCGCTGGGAGCCCTGGTTGACCCCTAGATCTACAGGCACAGATACTTTCACTCTGTCTTGCACTGCAGATGCCCCCGTGGTATGTGCTCGTGATTAGAATTAAATTCAGAAAATAGGAGAACTGAAGCCATTCCGAAACAATTCTTCTCTCAACAGTTAGATTTAGTTGGCCTGATGGGATTAGTCATGACCCGAGTACATGATTGCGGGCGTTGATGCCATCATATTTACATCTCAATTTTAATCAATTTGTTATCATGAACCTCAATTCATCAAGAAGAGCTTGGGTATGAATCTTCCTGTCACCTGTGACTCTGTTTTGCTCTATTTTATCACCAATCTATTAGGATGGCTGTTCCATTACAATTTTTCAAGCCTTGTGTGATGTGTTTAAGTGACTGAAAAAATCCCTTCAAACCAGGAACCCCATTTGACTGTTGTAGTCGGTTTTCAGAATACTCATAATTTTAAAGCTTTCTTTGACTCCCCACTGCTTTGGAGGATAACATCATCATCACAAACAATTCAATTTTTCAATGAAACAAATTGGCTAACAGTATCTGTATTGGGGGTAAAGATGTCATCAGGTACCCGTTTCCGGGTACCCGGCACCCGTTTGCGGGTACCTGTTTTTGAAAACAGGTACCCGCAAACGGGTGCCAGGTGCGGGTGCGGGTGCCCCATTTCAATGGGTAAAAGCCAGCGGGTACCCGGAGCAAGTACTTGCCAACACCCGCGGATTTGAGAGGGTCCAGATCTGCATGTTTATAGTTACATAAAAGCATATTATTATCCATAATACTATTCTTATAAGCATATGTATCCCTGTCACTGGAGATATCATATCCATCACAGCCAATCCCCTCACCGGTGACCAACACCTCTGCACCCCTCGGCCGCACCACCACACCACCGCACCCCTCCGCCACTACCATGGGAGGAACTAAGAGTAAGAAGCGTCACAGATCACCGACATCTTCTGTCTCCATCCCCGCCAAAGATCCAGACCCTTCTAAAAAAAAGAAAAGCCACACAACCGTTGAAGTACCAGACGATTCCGATGAAAGCGAACATGTTGTCTCCGACTCAGAAGCTGTGGAAAGAGCTCAGAACTCAAAAGGACATCAGACTACAGATGAACAAGAGCTGAGTAAGAAATTCTCTCTTCTCCTGATTGAATTAAGCACACTGACTGACTTGCACTTTCTAATATTCCAGAAAAGGCACAGAGAGTTCATGCAAATCGTCTCAGCACTTGCTATGCGGCTTTCGATCCGCCACAGCTTTCAGATTTGCTTGACAAAACCGGTCGGAGGATGATCGCCTACCCTTGTAAAACGTAAGTTGTTTTCATTCCCCTTTGAGTTTTGGTCATCTTGCTTGTACCTGCTTATCATTCATATTTTGCTTGCTCATCATTTTTTTTTCTCCAGCTGTGGAAGCAAAATACATCGGCCAGTATACGACACTTCCCCATCCAATCTATCCAAGCATGTAGCAAGCTGCGCCAAAAGAGAACGTGAGGCAATGGATAATCAAAAACTTTCGGCGATGGGGATATCTGGGACCGGTGACATTGACCCCCGAGAAGTAAGTCAATCCTTTCTCCTTGTCATTCTGGGCACTTTTGCTGATCCCTATTGGAATCCAGGTACCTCAGATGTGTGCAATCTGGTGCGCCGAAGGGGCCCGACCGTTTTCGGCTCTTGGAGACGAGGCACACCGAGCACTCTTGCACCCCGTTGTTATCAAGAATCTACCGGCACGGAGGACCGTATCCGATGATATAGCTCGTCTATATACATCTGTGCAGGAGACATTGATCCAATCGCTCAAGGTAAGTTTTGGTTGTTCTCAGTAGTTTTCATCGTCCTCTCTCTCTAGTTTTCATTTTCCTCTGTCTTGAATGCATATCAATCTGACCGTTTTTCTCATTCTAGGATCACGAGGGTGCAATGTACCTGGGTCTAGATGTTTGGCAGTCCCCAAACGGCTACGATGTACTAGGCACAGTCATATACCGTCTTGTGGAAGAAGATACAGGCGGATATCACCTTGAGGCGATGCCGCTCGATTTTGTGAAGCTACGGCAAAGCCATACTGGATTCTATTCAGCTGAAACCGTCCAGCTCATTGTTGAGAAATTTGGTGTCAAGGACAAGGTATGATTGCATTCTTTCTTTCTTTTGTTTGTTTGCTGATCAATTAAAATTATGTTGCTATAGATACAAGCAATTGTCACAGATAATGCTTCAAACAACCAGACAATGATTGAAGCCATCAGATCTTTCAAATGGGCAAGGTTCAAAGGCGAAGGCCAATGGATCAGATGTTTTGCTCACATACTCAACCTGATAGCTCAGGTGATCTTACGACCGTTTGGAAGCCACCAAAAACGAGGCCAAATGGCCGCCTCGCTTGATCGGGACCTAGAATCTGACGACGACGATCACTACTACAATGATGAAGGAGACCTAGATGATCCAGATGAACAGATTCAATTGTATGTAAAAAAATTTCTAATTCCGATTGTTCTCTTTCTATTTAAGACTGACATTTCTATGATTCTTAGGTTTACTAGGAGTGAATCAGGAGACGATGAAGATGATGAGAGCAAGAAAAAATCCGGGGAAGGGATCTTGGCCACTGATCTAATTGGTGAGGATGAGCTTGAGTTGGAGGATGATGATGTGAAAGAGATGAGCGACGAGGGTGAAGACGACCGATACACTTCCAAATCTTGCAAGGAGACCTTAGCAAAGGTAAGAGGCTGTCTTCAACGGAGTAAATATTTGAAATATTGCTTACTGACATGAATCAATTGAATTCCAATAAGTTCCAAGCCATCTCCAGAAAGTTAAATAAGTCTCCGAATTCAAAGGCTCTCTTCAAGGAGATCTGTCAGGAGCTTGAGTGTCCAAGGCCACATAATGTTGGGCGTGACGTTCGGACCCGGTGGAATTCAACTCTGGAACAATTGAAAAGTGTTCTCCGATGCTCGGCAGCCATGTAAGCCATTTTTCCCCTACTTGCAACCTCAACTATCAGTCCTGACAGAATTTTTATATTCCAATTGAAGCCTTGAGTGGCAAAAAGATAAACGACACGGTCCCGCTCGACACTATCACATTGACCGGGATGATCTCAGCTTAGCAAGCGACCTCGTTGAGGTTCTTGAACCTTTCTACGAAATTACCCAGCAGGTCTCAATTCGTGGTGCCGCTCGAATTGCCGACATTGTCGTCTTCATTGATCAGATCACTAGTCATCTCTCTTCTGCAATCTCGGATAAGCGCGACGATTACCCCCCTGCCTTGAGGAATGCCTGTCGTGCAGGAATTCAGCTAACAAATAAATACTACACTCTGACTGACTGCTCGCCATTATACCGGGTTGCTATGGGTATGCTTCTAATCTTTACAGCTGACTATGTAGTTTACTGATGGTGTTTCATCAGTCCTGCATCCATCTTTTAAAGACGAATATTTCAAACTTGCTCAATGGAAACCGGAATGGATCGAAGAATCGATAAGGCTCACCCGTGAGATGTGGGAATCTCACTACAAACCAACTTCTCAGCCATCAACATCACAAACGGTTATCACTTGCCCAAAGGTGAGTAAATGGGATATGTATCTAATACACAATCGATTCAGATTGGAGCTAAATTATTATAATTTCTGGATTAAAGCCCCAGAAAGGGGTTCTTGCAGGTTTGATTGGAGCCTCCGAAGCTCGAGGAGGGAACACATCAACCGATCCAATTCACATGTGGCTATCTGGCGGCTTACATTTGACCGATGACGGTCGGCCCGTGAATCCCCTCAAATGGTGGATGCGACAACGGCGTGCAGGGAATACTCATGGGGGTCTGCTACGCATGGCCCTTGATGTCTTAAGCTGTCCTGGTAAGTTTTCTTTCTTGTAGCCTAGATGAACAGGTTGAATTCCTAACACTCTTATATCTAGCAACGACCGTCGATGTTGAACGATCGTTCAGCTTTGGGAGGGATTATGTTTCCCTTAAAAGGCACCGACTCAGTGCCTCGTCAGTCACAAAAGGTATGGCAGTTGCTTTTTACTCCAAGAATGGGAAAATAAAACCTGGAGTACTACATAAATGGAGGGTAAATAAGGCAAATGAGATTAAACAAAAAGGAAAAGGGAGATCAGGGAAAAAATGAAGTACATAGTTTTTTTATATACTTTTTTATATATTTTTTCATTTATTTAACATGTGTAGTAACGGCAATGCAAGAGAGATTCAATTCTGAGCCGGAAACACAACAAGTACCTGCGGGTACCTGCAACAGGTACCCGGGTACCTGCCCACTGCACCCTCTGCGGGTGCAGGTGCGGGTGTGGGTGTCCGGATTAGGACATTTCTGAGGCGGGTACCCGCACCTGTTTGGGGTACCCGGGTATCAGATGCCATCTTTAATTGGGGGATATTTCCATCCAAGTTACCAAATTGAACTAATCCAGCTCACTAAGTCTGAGACAAATTTGCCTGTGGCTCCAAGTTGAGCAAACTGTTGCTGTATTCAGCAAAGACTAGCTTTCCAGCTAGATAAGCTAACCAGTTCCCATAAAACTGATCTATTTGCTCCCAAAAACAACACACACCCCGATTTCAAAGCACATGGATAAAACTGACAGTTTTTCGATAGCTTATCAATTGCTGCAAGTCATAACTCATTTGGTTCTGGCTAAAATCATCAAAATTCTTCCAATTTCAAATTATTTCTTACTTAATACTCAGAGTCAGATACAGTTTCATGTGGCATATTAATCTACCAGTTCCAGGGGTGTCCAAATGCTTATGACTTGGAAAATATACAAAAAAACAACTCCCAGGGTATCAAGGGTGCACTGGGGTAGTGGGATGGATTATTGTTTACAAAGAACAAAAACATGATGACTGTTTGTTGTCTTCATATACTTTATGGTGACCTTGGACAGTCAGCAACAATTCTATGAGCCCAAAAATATGTCCTTCACCATGCTGTAAACCCATATTCATGGACTTATAGAATGGTGTAAAGTACAGAGTTATGGCTCCAGGGGAACTATCATTGATGAAGCCAGATCTTCAAATGCCCCAGAACAAAAAAATATAAAACATTCTTTTGGCTGTACCAGTTGTCACACCATGATAGTTTTGGATTTTACACATTTCAAAAGCTCCAAAAAGGTGTTTTACATGTGTGCTTGAACCCTGTAAGTGTTCTTACATTTTCCTGTGTGTGAAACTCAATTTTTGCAGGTGAGTACAGTAATTTGTCCTGTGAGACTGTGTGTGACTCAAGTATTGAAGATGAGTAGATTGATTTTTCCTGTGAAAGTGTAGATAAAAGATCACAGAGAAATAAAAGTACATTTTCAGGGACTGGCCATCTTCCAAATGGGAAAATCTGGCAGCTATGATCAAGTGTTTTTTTTTTCTTCATTAAATTTACAAAAATTATGAATTACTCAATTTATCCAATAAAACAAACAAATAACTAAAAAAAACATCACATTCACTCTGAATCTGAGTTGCACTAAAAAAATAGGAATTCTACTCAGAACTAATTTTGGATGTCTGAAAAAGTCTGAATTCTCCAAAATGGCCAGGATAACTGTTGAAATCTGAGCATTTGAGGGAGAGAGGGGGGGGGGGTGATTTTGAACAAAATCAAGTGGAAAACTTGAGGGAACATAGTTAGGAAAATTGATGAAAATGAGAAGAACCAATGGTGTTTATTTCTTGTTAGCTAGCCTGATTGAGTAGACTAGATACAAGCAGGTTAATATTTTGTTCATAAGAAATGTGAGAATATTCTAAAATCTAATGACCTAAAATGCCACAGAGAAAACACCGAAAATGTTGAATTCCACAAGGATATATAGACAACCTTGGAGATCTAATAAGATCTTCATGTCATTTTCCAAGGACTGAAAGGAAGAGATAACAGATAACATAGGTAAGAGAAATATCAGACTATCTTGTGAGGGCACTGAGCAGCGAGGACATGATTCTGGTGCATTTTTCTAAATCAGAAGCACCACATCAACAATAATAGGGAAGTGAAATAGGAATAGGTAAGAATGAGAGGCATAAATGGAACAATAACCCCTCATAACTTAACTTCCCATTGTTGGTAGTCACTCAACAGGTGGTATCAAATGTGAGAAATCCACCATTAAAAACCAGTGATCTTCCCAAAATAAAATTGCATCAAGGGTTTCCAAAGGGTTTAGGTGAACAAGCAGTTTATTTTAAAAATAGTGGGTATCAAATACAAGAAATAAACCATTAGAAACCAGTCAATTACTTGATCATAAAATTGTGGGTTTTTCAAAACCAGTCAATAAGGGGTATCAAATATAATCAAATCCACCATTATTTAATTGACTGGTTTGAAAAAATCCACCTTTTTTTTAAACATTTTGGTTATCCATTGCAACCCTTTTGGGGCCCATTTATGCAAAAAAAAGTTTTTGGAAAAGTGACTGGTTTCTTATGGTGGATTTCCTAGTGGATTTGCCTATATTTGATTCCCCCTAATGGTGGATTTTTCCAAACCAGTCAAACTAATCATGGTGGATTTGGTAATATTTGATACCCCCTAATATGCTTTTTTACAACACAATCTACAAAATAGGTGTATTCAAGGTAACATTACATGTTTAATCTGTGAGATCACTAACCTCCTCTGCAACAGAAACTGTAGAAGGCTTGGTTAAATAAACTTACAAAGCACAATTTCTTAGAAGTAAAATTGAGATCATTTATAGGGAGAACTTGCATGTAGTCTTTTGCTATACCACCAAAAAATTTAATTCTGAGATTATGTCTTGTTTGATTGTTAAGTGGTATTCATAATTTTCAAAAGAAAGGAAGAAATCAGTTGAAAGGGAATAGTTTTCAAAATTAATAGAAAATAAAAATAAGAAATAACTGCAGAAATATTGTATTGTATTTTTTTCAACATCGGATTTATCACTGCAGGATGAGGTATATTTTGAGCTGAATCATGACTTGTACTATCCAAACACCCTGAAAAACACAAATGAATACAGCCTAGTAGGTAAAAGCATCACTAGTCTTAAGATATTAATACTAAATTTATCAGATTTTCCTTTGAATGTTAGTGCTGTTCCAATAGTTTTACTGACTGTCTCCTCTATGATTTGTTTTGCCACTTGCCAGCAGGGTATTTTGTCACTACACTTGATTTATGTCAGCATACCAGAATTTTACTAACCTGATAAAACTACAGTGAAAATACTCAAAAAAGTGGCACCAAACAAGCACGTTTTTTGAATAGGGGCCCAATAATTCTTTAGGTTGTGATTCTAGATGCTTACCTGTGTGTTATTCTCTCGCAAAATAGATACTGGACAAATTTGTGAATTATTGCTGGTAGGGCATTAATAAAAAAACACAGTTTTTCCGCGTTTACACACAGTTTTGCTGCGGCACAGCGCACACGGTTTCCGGGTTTACACACTGTTTCGTAATTAATTTTTTATGGGTTATTTTTTGAGTTTCTTTTTTTTTAATTTTTAAATTTGTTTCCTACACTTCGAAAGGTGTAGATTTTAATGGTAAAAACCATTTTTCATAAAAATGAATTTTAATCATTAATTACTAGTATATGCCCCCAAATTTGGGGAGGCTGCATGTTTTTGCCCTGGATGTGGGGTTTTACTCGATGTCCTATGGGGTTTTCTTGAGTTGGACACCTGTCTGCCTCGGTCTAACGCCGGCGTCGCCAAATCCAACAAATGTGAATTGGAGGTCGACGCCGGCGTTAGATTGCATGACAGTTTGTTTGGGCCTCTGAGGCTATTTTTTAGTTATATGTAGATTTTTTTCACTCATTTCTCAATTAATTGTTTGCAAACATGTTTGTACCTTACTTTTTATGCTTTTTTGAAATTTTAAAATTATTTACTAGGTTTCAATGTGCGTAGAATTTAATGGTGCAATCCTTTTTTTTAAAACTCAACGGTTCATTTTTAATACTGAAATTAGACCCATTTTTTCTCTTAATTTTTTACAGCTTAATTCTCATCATTTTTTGACATTTGAAATTTATTTCCTACACTTTAAGACATGTATAAAATTATGGTAACAACCATTTTTCCCCAAAGTGAAAACTATACCTTGAATGCCGCATTTCACACGTTTTTTTTTGATTAATTCATCACTTTTTCACTTAATTGTTTGCATACATATGTGTACCTTATTTTTTATGCTTTTTTGAAATTTTAAGGCTTTTGCCTGCATTTGAATATGTGTAGAACTTAATGGTAACATTCAATTTCCAAAAAACTAAATGGTTCATACTGAATACTGTAATGAGTCGTATTTTTCAATTGATTTTTAACAGCTTATTTTTGATTATTTTTTGACATTTTAAATTCTTTTCCTATACTTTCAAACATGTATAAAATTATGGTAACAATGAATTTTTATAAAAATGAAAACTATATCTTGAATAATGCCTTTGACGTGTTTCCTAAATTAATTCTTACACGCTCAATTATCCTTAATTTTTGAAATTTCAAGCTCATTTCCTACACTTTGAAAGGTTTCAAAATTGACGGCTGTATCCATTTTGCATTCAAATAAAATTTGTATATGGTACAAATTATGCAAGAAACGGGGTACGCTCATCTATTAAGATTGAAGCTTATATTTTTAGTGAAATTGGACTTCACCATTTGATTCTGCACATTTCTAAATGTAGGAAATGAATTTAGAATTTAAAAAAATGCTTAAAATCAAGCCGGTAAAAATCAATCAAAAAATCATTAAAAAAAACCTGTCCAACGCAGTATTCAGTAACAAGCGCTGATTTTTATGTAAAATGGTTGTTACCATCATTTTAATCATGTCTTAAAGTGTGGGAAATAAATTTAAAGTTTCAAAAAATATTGAGAAATAACATGTAAATAATTAATTAAAAAAAGTGTCTAGTTTCAGTATTAAAAATGACATGTTGAGTTTTAAGAAAATTGGATGCTACCATTAAATTCTACATACCTTTAAATGTAGGAAGCAACTTTAAAATTTCAAAAAAGCATAAAAAATAAGGTACACACATGTCTGCAAACAATTGAGTGAAAAAGTGAGGAATTAAATTAAAAAACAGTGTCAAATGCAGTATTCAAGATGTATTTTTCATTTTGATGCACAATTATTTTCACCATAATTTTTTACATGTCTTGAAGTGTAGGAAGAAAATTTGAAATGTCAAAAAAGAATGAAAATTAACCTGTAGAAATTTAAGTGAAAAAATGTGTCTAATTTCAGTATCCAAAATGAACTGTTGAGTTTTAAAGAAATTGGATTACACCATTAAATTCTACACACATTGAAACCTAGGAAATAATTTTAAAATTTCAAAAAAGGCTAAAAAATAAGGTACAAACATGTTTGCAAACAATTAATTGAGAAATGAGTGAAAAAAAATAATTAATAATTAAAATTCATCATTATGCAAAATGGTTCTTACCATTAAATTCTACACCTTTCAAAGTGTAGGAAACAACTTTAAAAATTAAAACAAAACTCGAAAAATAACCCATAAAAAATTAATTACAAAACCGTGTTTAAACGCGGAAACCGTGTGTCGCAGCAAAACCGTGTGTAAACGCGGAAAAACCGTGTTTTTTTATTAAGGCCCTTGCTGGTATCGGTAAGAATTTTTCATACTTTTCTAGCAGTTTACTGGGGTTTGGAGTCATGCTGTCACTGACAACCAAAATCAAGCACAGAAAGGAATCCATACCTTGTAGGTCTGCAGTTGATAAAACTTAGAAGCCAAACAATCTGTGTTTTTTGATGATTCAAATCAAATTGAAAAATCTTCAAAAAAAGTATTAGTTTGAAAACACAGGCCATATATCAAACTAAAATTACAAATCATGATTTTAAAGGTCAATTTGTTTTCAGATCATCTGATGGACCAACTTTGAAAATTTCTGTGGGGTTGTTTCTGTGGGCTTTCTTGAATGAATTAGTGGTGATTAATGGCCTAAAGACTTATCAGTTGCTTTTGGGAGGAAGTTTTGATTGAGTGTTCTAATTTCTCAGCCCATGGGATCAGTTGCAATGCCCTCATTTCCGACGACGTTTGACCGGGGTTGCAATATGGCATCGAACTGTAATACAAACGAGTGCTGGATTTTACAAGCCATTTAAACATATCTGTATCGTGTTTGAAAAGTAGTTTCCATTTCTCATGATTCTCGTTTTTGTAGTAAAATCCCAGGATCGCTACGATGGTCTTGGACATGATTAAATCCATCTCGAATATCGTTGCAGATCTACCCCTGTGCATTTCGGTGCGCTTGACTTGGTAAATGACTTTGTTTTCCTTTAAGAAAATCAACTCCATAATTAATTCGCTTGGAGTTTTGTACAAACTCTTAGAAGTAGATGTGCGGTTTTGATGGAGGGCTTCAGGTGCAGCTCCTCGGTTTTGATCCAGGAATTGGCGTAATCGACTTCCAGACTCGTCATTGTTCTCCTCAAGAAACATGAACTGTAGATAGAACTGGACCCTCTTTTGCTCCTTACGGAACCTTTGCCCAGAAACTTCAGCGCCAATAGATTCAAGAAATTTTCCATTGATTGCCCAAAGAAGATCAAATAGCCTCTCTAGTCTTGCCAAAGCCTGTTTATCAGAAACCATTAGGAATCTGCGCCCTTCTGCTTCGTCGTTGAAAGTTTTACGAGCTGCAAATTCCAACTTCCTTGCAATGAGAGTTCTCATTAAGGTCAAATCCGGTTTATAAGTGTCATGTAGTTCAGCTTTGCCGTCTAGTTTCAGCCTGGCGATCCATGCCCATAGGGTTTCATCTTGGTCTTCTTCCATGTAAAAATTATGGCGAATTTTAAAATTCCTGATCTCACCGATCGCAGTATCTGCACGTAATGCAAACAAGTCAAGTGGTGAAACCCATTTTTCAAACTTAACGAGTCCACTCTTTAGATAATTTGCAAAATTCTTCATTATGTCTGGTTGACCAGGTAATTTCCAGGGTAAAAGACTTCCTGCCAAGTCCCTAGCGTAGTACTCGATCGGGTATTTGAGATACGGTCTGTCTTTCCACTCGGCTCCGAAGTTAGAAAACTTTATAACAAATTCACCATCTTCTTCGAAGATATAATCCCACTTTACCGGATTGTAATTTTTGTAGTAAAAACCAAGAACAGTAACAACCGCTTTGTTTATTAACAAATCTTTCGGAGAAATAGGCAGAGCCTTCGGTGTGAGATGTTCGCGATATACTTTGTAGATAGCCTGACCTTCATTCAGTTGAATTGCCTCCATGATTTTCTGATGAAGAGACAGTCCTTCACTTCCAATCCATGGCTCAAACATCCCACGATTTGATGGACCGGTCGAGGTGAACTGGTTGCATGTTAGCAGGAAACTAGTAAACCACCTGATTAAGTTTTTCTGCTCCTGAAGATAGATCATTCTTGATCGTTTGGATCCAAAACACTCTAAAACTCTGAGATTGACTGCCCATAATGATGTAATGAAAGCCGTTATTTGATTTTCAAGCAAAATTGAATCGGATTGTTGAATAACATTTATGCTCGGATGGTAGAGTTGGGGAAGGAAATCAGCTTTAAATTCTATCATGATTTTTTTGGCATGTCTGTCGAACTCAGAGGCCACTTGTGCCCCGATGTGTTCATAGATGATCGAAATCCATGCCCAAACTTTCAAGTTCATATGCTCCACATTAAACTCTCTGATTGTATTTTTTGAAACGGAAGGACTGCGCTCGGTGACGGCGACGATATTGCCATGTCCGTGTTGAACGGAGCCAGGGATCGCATCATTTGAATTTTGAAATTGCTCTGGGCGATCAAGATGTGTGGAATGGGGCTGAATGACCGAAGGAGTCAGATTAATGCTTGCATGGTTATGTCCGGGCGAACGCGTAATCGCTTCATTGGATTGACGTCTTTTTTCGTAAGTGGGATTGAGGTAGCTTGCGCCTCGACTATCAATGTCAGGAATCGGATTAAGCCCATGTGAGAATGTATGACTTGAGTGGTACGATGTTCCTGTAAGTTGAGGAACAAGTAAGGTAAAGACATCGTTTTTAGTGAATTTTACCTGGTCACTGTTTTTCTACCATCGCAAATACCGAGAGAATTGTTTGTACCTTCATCATTCCATTTTCGAAAGGCTGAACGCGACGAACCCAGTAGGCCACCACGAGGCTTGTTCAACGGGGGAGAAGCTTTGAATAATTTGAGCTCCACAATATGCTTGCCTGAAGCTAACTGATATATTTCTTGATTATCTTCAATCTCACAGGATGACAGTGTTAGCCTTTTCCTTTTTCCGTTTCCACTGTCTAGATCCGTGTTCCTATCGCCTAAAATATCTTATACATTGGGACCCTTATGATCAGCGCTCTCAGTCCATTGGATTTTGATGAAAGAAATCAAACAGAGCCGGACGAACCGATCGCGATTAAAGCTCTTGGCTTTGCCCCTGTAGTTGACGTAGGCGTGTTTTGCTCATCCCGTGGAGGGCTGTGGGATGTTGGAAGTAACGGTAATAGTGTTGGAACCCGACCAGACCTAGTAGTAGTTCTCATATCTTCCAGGCTTCCTTGATCTAAGCTCTGGACTGACCCCGCCAAGGCGGCATCAATATTCGAAGCAGCGTTAGATGTCGAGGTTGCTAGTAACAATTGGATCTGCAGCCACCAGATGAGTGCAAGTGCGAAGGCTCTTTCCATTTCCAAATTTCTCGCTTCCTTCCACTATCGTTTTAGTAAGCGAACTTATCTCGAGGGTAAATGCGTTTCTGGGAGTTTCCAAAGTACCGCCAATGGGAAAATTGAGCTTCTTTCTTCCTTGCTGGTTCTCTTCTACCACAGAGTTCCTTGAACTCAAAGACCAACTCAGGAAGATCTACCCCTTTGATCCTTGACTCAAGTTCTCAAACATCAGAACTAAAGTGACAAACATGCAAGTTCACTCATGTGTGTACCACAGCAAATCTGTGGCAAGTTATGAGACCCTTTCAGTACAGTTTACTTTTTGCCATTGAAGCGTATCAAGAAGAGCTACCCTCTCCTTCATGAGATTGAGTTTGAAACTGACCATTGTTGTCTGGGTTTTCCATTGCGATCTTCTGGAATCTAAGTACTGAATTCTGACGACGACTTGCAGAGTCACATATGAAAATATGTAGCTTTCCTACATGCAAAGGGTTGCCGAGGGGCAAACAAATCAACTCTTCCGGATGAACTAACGCCATTGAGTCCATTGCGGTGAGATTTGCGATCTGGTTACTATTCTTGAAAGAACTGAACGTCTGATCAGAATACGGCGGTTTGCATGGTTTTGATTTTCAAAACTAACACCCAAACCCTATTGTTAAGTCAACACTGAGACAGATAAAGAGTTTGTGGAAGGATTAGTATTGCATGAAATGATAATGAACAAGAAACAACCTGAAAGAAAAGAATGAAAGAAAAAGAGATGATGAAGAGAGAAAGAAAGAAACAGAGACTTACCTGAGACAGGGCTACAGAATTTTACAAAGTGCCCTTTACAGAGCCTTTCCGCCTCAAAATGTGTAACTTCAATTCCAAAAAAACATGTTGATGTAGATTTTTACAAATTTAATATTCATCCAAGAGCTTTGTAAAGGGCAACCTCTCAAATGAAACCTTGTGAAATTGGCCGCAAAGGAACATACTGTAGAACTTTGCAATGTAAATGTCACAACACATCTCCCTTGTCACCAAAAGACCTGACAAATTTTCCTAAGACATTTCTCAAAGGTCAAATTAACAACAGAACTATTTAAAATGCGTGGATCTCTCAAAAATTGACATCTGAAAATCCCCCAAGATGGTGCAAGATGTGAAAGTTAACAAGGCAAATACTTCAGGCAGGCAGAGCTGTCTTCTTCCCAGATTGTCCGAGCTTTGATGTTAATTGTTGCACATAAGTCTAGTGTCAATGAGATTATGGCAGCAGACTGGTTTTTAACAGGGTTCAGATATGACATGATTGTCAGAGCGGATGCATTGGTGTATAGAGTCAAAACAACATCTGGATTGTCAGTAGTGGACATATCAGTCATGAGGAAAGAGGTTAGAGAGAAAGTGTGGGAGATGATGAGGAAGCTAAAAAAATTGGACATCAAAGATAATCCTTATGCAGTTGGAGGTATAAAGTTTGGATTTGACCCAAAAACTTGTTGGCCCAAAATGGGCAAGGGTCATAAATTGTCTTGAGATTTGTATTCTAGTAATCAGAATATGAATCATGGGGGTTGATGTGTGCGAGGGGGGTTGACTTGCGCTTATCAACCCTCATGAATCACTGTCTGGAAGACAGAGGCTTTATGGATAATGGACCATATAGGGGAAGTAAAAATCAAAATAGAGGCCTTGGCAGTCCAAATTATGGTTACAAGGCTCTTGGCTTGGAAAAATCAAATAAAAACTGTGGTCAAGATGAAAGAGGCTCAAATCATTGACCTTTAGGTGGATATGACTCATATAATCATCATGGTAACCATCATGAAAGCTCAAGCAGTTACAAATTGTACAAAAGCTTGCATAATCATGGTTTTGTTAATCAATGCAATGGTGGTTACAACTCTCAACTCAACAGTAACTTCAAAGGAAATTTGATCAAAGACAGCAACAATTTGAAAGGTCCAATGAAAAAATCCCAAAAAGATAATAAAGATATGGAGTTTGATGTCTTCATCCTCATACATTCACATAATTTACCTGCAATTATTTGTCTGCTGTTAGCTAGATGGATTTTGTGCTCATGATAATCAGGTGTTATTTCAGAGGGTTTTTGACTTAAATATGTTTTTGATTCTTTAATTTTTTATCCTTTTGTGAATTATTCTTTTGTGCAAATTGCAATCATATTGATTTGGATTCTCTCTATGTGAAATGAAGTGTATGTGTGTTGCCTAGTGAGATATCATGTGAAATGCAAGTCAACAAATGGATAGAGGCTTCAAAGGCAAGTGGGCGTTTAGCAGATTTCAAGGATGTGGTTGATGGATTCACAAGTTGTTTTGATCAATGGATTTCTTCACATTGTATTGGAGGCTTGGAGTGGTATACACCAGATAACCTGTCAGCTCCGGTCTCTTATGTGACCTGGCGTTGATGGGGTGAAGGGCACACTATAACTGCTAGTGTTAACTAGCAGCCAATGGAAAGGAAACCTCGCCTCGACGCTAGAAAGCGGAGGGGTTAAGCTCCCTGAATAAGGGAACGTACGCGGTATGAGCGTCGCGTCGCCGGGCTTAGAGCAGAATAAAAACTCTCTTCTAGGCTACTGTAGTGACTTTACAGTAGTCTAGGGAAGATAAGGCACTGAATGGAGGAAGGGGGGAAGGATGTTTTTAAAAAGGCTAATAATAGATTATAAACCCCACTCACAGTTTGATGTAAGGTAAACGGGTTGTATGGTAATCTCTGGGGGGAGGATTCTTGGGAAGAAGACCTCCCCCTTAAGTATTACAAAGGCAGGGGTCAACCTGCCTGTGAGACCGGTGAGGCCTGCAGAGGATCATTTATGTATATAAATCATAAATGATCAAAATATGTATTTAAATTAAGATTTAAACCAGAAGTGGAGGAAATGATGTCATTCAAGCTCAAAGGAGAAAGAATGATGTCATCTCTCTAATTACAGTGTATAGAGAGATGATTAAGCTTTCAGACTATATGTATATAATCTTTCTAAATATGAATATTAATACAGAGGTAAATACTTAAGTAATTCCGTGGAATTACTTAAAGCATAAAAGTATAAAAATAAATTAATAATAAAATTATAAGATTACATAATTGGGATTTGAACATAAGTGTGTTGGTGAGGCAAATTCATAACACAGTCCTTAACCAATACACTACAGTACATGTGCTTGTTGGTTAAGTACAGGTTGTAGACACATGGGCTACAGCCTCAGTGTCTGACATAACCACAGGTCTTTGGAGCTAGCAAAGGATGATATCAAGGAGTCACTTGCAAGGAGTTAAATGCAGGTCAAATGTTAAGACCTTTCTAACACATCCAGATGCAGGAGTTTGTTTTTTTTGGTTCAAATAATTTAGGAGAGGTGGTTGAAAGAAATGGTGCAATAAGACCAATCAAAAACCTCTCATAACCACAGAATGACAGAAAAATCGGATCAGTGAACTTGTATGTGAGGAAGGAAGATTAAAAAACAATGTGGGATGATTTTAAGAAAGTTTCAAAGTTATTTGCCAAAGATGAAAGAAAATTTGAATTGGCTTTGTTTGATTGGGAGAAGGCATATAGACAAACACCCACCAAAATAGATCAATGGAATTATCTGTTGGTACATGATTTTGAAGGGATATTATTGGTAGAAACAGGAATTACATTTGGAGAACGGTGTAACTGATGTGATGCATACATATGCATCACATTGCATCACATCTCAGGAGTAATGTGGTGCCCCCGCATTGAATTTTTTGATACAGAGTACTCTAAAACCATTGTTAGTGGAACTGGCCCACCATTGCCAGAGACCTGGAGATTTGGGTTGAAACCTTGCAGAATTTTGAACACATGAGACTGATCAGATGGGGACCACCACTCAATTTTGGTTGGTTTGCAGACACATCAAGATCATTTTGCATAGGTGTCTTGGTTGGGAAGCATTGGGCACAATTCAGGATAATAGACCCAAAGAACAATCACATAAGGTGTCAGCTTGCTACTATAGCAGAGACAACCTGTCATAGTACACAAACACTGTAGAAGATACAAAAAGATGTTATTATGAATAGTACTGGAAATGAATGGGAAGATGAAATAATGTTGAGTTTTCACCTCTGTTGCCTACTCCTCTCCAAAATCACTCTTCTTTTCCACCTTCTTTCTCTCCTTTCTTCTTTCTTGAATCTTCCTGAAATAGACTGAATTATAGTTCTCTATGGCTGGTTTTTTGTTGAGTCTTATGCATCTTAGTAGTCTAATTAGAACTCACAATAGCAATTTATCAACAACTCCTGCCTTACTGAGTGGCTTCTTTCTTTTTCTATTTTCACTATTTGATTCTTAAAAACTGATTGTTAAGAATTAACGCCTCTTATTCATTTGTGGTTGTGTGTTTGTTTTTTCATGATTAATTTGCTAGCTTTTCTAAAAGAGACTGAGAAGAATTGTCCGGCTGTTTCTTCCATGAACTCATTCATTCCTTCATCTCAGTTTTTATTCAAAATACTCTTTTATTCATTTTGATTCTACCACATTTTGTGCACATGTATTTAGTCTATTTAATTCCGGCTAGATACTTGTGAATAAAAAACATCGGTTCTTTCATTCTTTTACCGCGAACCTTTCCCAAAAAAGGTCCTCCACTTTTTTGTGCCATTTCCTCTCTTCAGCCTGTCTCGAGTTCAAAAATTCAACAAATAATAAAGGCATTATTTCTCAAGATTATTAATCTATATGAAGAATAACCTAGGGTACCTCACTCAAAGTTACCCTATATTCTAACTCCTTCATGTAGTAAATCTACATTAAACAATTAGAGTGTACCTCCAGGAAAGAAATGAAATATGCTTATGTTTATAATTAAATATGCTAATAAACAGGTTTAAGACTTGAAACTGATTCGTTGTTTCAAACATACATTTGTATATTGATAACACATGTGTGGCACATTTCCAAGGAAATAGCCACATGTTTCAGCTTTAATCTTCTACAGAACACCTGTGGCACATTTCCAAGGAGATGGTCACATGTTTCAGCTTCCATGCATGAAGCGCCCACAAGTTGGCCCTGATCTCCCAGATGCCTCCACGGGTATATAAAGAGCCCTCTGTCCCCCCAAATAAGGATTCATCAGATTATTACAACCCAGTTTAGATTACCCACCATCCCAAATGCTTAACATTTGTATCTGTCTGGTAATGTGTTGTCTTTTGCTTTAATCCTCTGTCCATGAAAACCTCAAGACTCAAGGGAAATTATTAGTACATTATAATGCCCCCTTCTTTCTTGAGATTTTCACTACTTTATTCTGGGATTTAAACCACACCTGTTCACAGACCCCAGTGCTAACAGGTACCTAAATCCTCTGCTTTTGCACAATACCTTTGAGGGATTAAACAACCCCTGATTTATCAGGCCCCTCTGTTTAAATTATATCAAAATTTATTAATATGATTGATCATATCTACTATTTATAAACCTTGTAATTACCAATCATCATTGGAATTACTACCTGGACTCTTTGGTCCCAGATTTCAAACTCCAACATCTTAAGTTTTGCACCATGTGCAGCTAGAAGGGAGACTCCTTGGCATCACGGCGGCTGACATAAGGATATCATTCCTAGAGATGGTGGCCATTTGGCTAGGCTTGCTGATGTTGTTATAACTTGGGAATTTGCTTAGTGTCTTTATGGAAAATACAACAACACCAAACAGTATTGACAATAAAAAGTCTAGGGACGTTGAGACAAACAGAGAGTGAATGAAGATTCAAGACATCCTGTTATGTGAGGTGGTGGAAATTGTTGCACAAAGGGTTACCTCAAAAGATAACAAGGCAGGTGCCTTGTTGAGAGGAATACATACAGGGTAAGCTGTTGATAACCAATTTTTCATTGCCTTGCCAGCAGATCTCAAGACCCTATTGTAGCAGGTAGTGCTTAAGGTGTACTTTTTTGGTTTGAATCTCAAGTCCTGTTTTTGTATTTTGTTTGTACTTGGGTAGCTGTTGGTTCAATTTGTCAAGAAAATAGGTACCAAGTACCACACCTGGAACTAGTGATGTTAGCAGGTACCCAGAAGGGGGTACCCGGTACCCATTTGCAGGTGCCTGTTTTTCAAAGCAGGTGCTGGGTGCGGGTGTGGGTGTTGACATTTGAGGTGAAAAAACAGGCAGGTACCCACCTTACACCCACCCTTATAATGTATCATAAGTGTCCTGTCCACCAGAGAATTTTCATCAACATCAATTGACTTGAGGAGAAATAAGAAATATATGAAATGCATGAATCTGATGTATTTTAAAGATGAGAGAAAAGAATACAAGTGTTTGATTGTTGGTCCCGCAAAACACACACATATTCATACAGCTTTTGTGGACAAAAATACCTGGAATCTGTGGTGGTGCAAATGATACAGTTTGTTGAGTTTTCCTCTTCTCTGGTCTACTCTTTCCCAAAATCACTCCCTCCTTTCCATTTATTTCCCTCTTTTTTCCCTTCATGAATCTTCTTGAACTGGACTGAATTATAGCATATCATAGCTGGTTTTCTGTTGAAACTTATGCATAATTTTGTGTAGTCTAATTAGAACTCCCTATAGCAATTTAATAAACAACTCTTGTCTTCATGATTGACTTCTTTCTTTTTCTATGTTCATTGTCTGATTCTTAAAAACTAATTATTTAGAATTAACGCCTCTGAATATTTGTGATAAAATTATTGTTTTTTCTTGATTAACTCTTCTTGCCTGACCAAAAGAGACTGAGAAGTCCTGCCGAGATTGTTTCTTGCAAGAACTCAATTTATTCTTTCTCTTAGTTTTTATTCAATATCCTATTTTTTTTCATTCTCAACCAACCACATTTTGACACACTTGTATTTAGTCTATTTAAACATAGCTAGATACTTGTGAATAAAAATTATCGGTTCTTTACACTCTTTTTCCGTGAGCCCTTCCCAAAAATAAGATCCTCTTATTTTTGGCCCTTCACCTCTTATGCGCTTTGGTTTAAAATTTTAACACAGTTCATCATTATATATGTGGGATTTGAACATATAAAAGAAGGAGGAAGAGATTGGTCATGCATGAAGGGATTGGAATGGAAAAAAATGAATGTACAAACAAAAAATAAGACTAGAAGTAAGAAAGAAGGAATTTGGAAAGGAAGAGGGGACAAGTTTTTTTTGGTGGGTTATTTGTTTTTTGATGGTGATGACAATGATTCAGAAGAATCAGTGAACAAAATGCAAGGGAGGGAGATATAAAAGAAAGAAAGAGAAAGAAAGAAAGAAAGAAAGAAAGAAAGAAAGAAAGAAAGAAAGAAAGAAAGAAAGAAAGAAAGAAAGAAAGAAAGAAAGAAAGAAAGAAAGAAAGAAAGAAAGAAAGAAAGAAAGAAAGAAAGAAAGAAAGAAAGAAAGAAAGAAAGAAAGAAAGAAAGAAAGAAAGAAAGAAAGAAAGAAAGAAAGAAAGAAAGAAAGAAAGAAAGAAAGAAAGAAAGAAAGAAAGAAAGAAAGAAAGAAAGAAAGAAAGAAAGAAAGAAAGAAAGAAAGAAAGAAAGAAAGAAAGAAAGAAAGAAAGAAAGAAAGAA